ACTGATCTCCTTTAGGATGGACTGGTTGGATCTCCTTGCAGTCCAAGAAATTCTCAAGAGTCTTCTCCAACACCACAGTTCAAAAGCATCAATTCTTTAGCACTCAGCTTTCTTTATGGTCCAACTCTCACATCCATATATGACTACTGGAAAAACACTAGCTTTCACTAGATGGATCTTTGTTGGCAAAGAAATGTCTCTGCCTTTTAATGCTGTCTAGGTTGGTCATAGCTTTTCTTCCAAGCAGCAAGCGTCTTTTAATTTCGTGGCGGCAGTCACCAACTGCAGTGATTTTGGAGCCCCCCAAAATGAGGTCTGTCCTGTTTCCATTGTTCCCCCATCTATTTGCTATGAAGTGATGGGACCAGATGCCATGATCTGAGCTTTCTGAATGTTGAGCTTTAAGCCAACTTTTTCACTGTCCTCTTTCACTTTCATCAAGAGGCTCTTTAGTTCTTCTTCCCTTTCTGCCATAAGGGTGGTGTCATCTGCATATCTGAGGTTATTGATATTTCTCCTGGCAATCTTGATTCCAGCTTGTGCTTCATCCAGCAGGGCATTTCTCATGATGTATGCTGCATATAAGTTAAATGATCAGGGTGACAATATACAGCCTTTACGTACTCCTTTCCCTATTTGGAACCAGTCGTTGTCCCATGTCTGGTTCTGTTGCTTCTTGACCTGCATACAGATTTCTCAGGAGGCCGGTCTGGTATTCCCATCTCTTGAAGAATTTTCCACAGTTTGTTGTGATCCACACAGTCAAAGGCTTTGGCGTAGTCAATAAAGCAGAAATAGATGTTTTTCTGGAGCTCTGTTACCTAGCTGACTATTAAAACTTTACAGAAGAGGAGGTGGTGTCCTAACTTGAGAGGCAGGGGGAAGATATCTTATAAAAATGCACTTCTCTTTATTGAAAAACAAGCTGCTCACTCACTGGCTATTGATTGGATCTATGAGGCACTGCTGCAGGCATATTCACATGCTGCTGTTTCCCAGCGTGTAGAACGTGATACTAATGGGCTCATGCCCACAGAATTCCCACCTTTTGCCAAGCTTGTTTCACTTTGACAGGCCTTGTGTGTATGACTTAGCTTTGTTCTTGCAGAATACATGCTATCATTCTTGGAGAAAACAAGTGGGAGAGTGATTTGCTGAACTGTGGTGTTGGAGAAGACTCTTGAGAGTCCCTTGGACTGCAAGGAAATTCAACCAGTCCATCCTAAAGGAGATCAGTCCTGAATATTCATTGCAAGGACTGATGCTGAAACTGAAGCTCCTATATTTTGGCCACCTGATGTGAACAGCTGACTTCTTAGGAAAGACCCTGATGCTGGGAAAGATTGAGGGCAGGAGGAGAAGGGGACGACAGAGGGTGAGATGATTGGATGGCATCACTGAATCTATGGTCATGAGTTTGAGCAAGCTCCGGGAATTGGCGATGGACCGGGAAGCCTGGCAAGCTGCAGTCCATGGGGTCACAAAGATTTGAACATGACTGAGTGACTGACCTGAACTGAACACGGTTATCACTGTTTCTGTAATCATCAAAACCCAATGTTAGTGCCCAGTCAAGTCCTTTAGGGTTCCGGGGAATTCCTGCCGAGGTCGTCTCGCTGGCCCTCCAGTCAGCATGTCATCCCTGGATCCCTGCTCTTGCTGCTCCGCACTCTCTCTCTCTCTCACCTCGTTTTTCCCAGCTGAAGGTTTGATTCTGTTTGTTCTGTGAGGCCTTTCTGACCCCACCACGCCCTCACGGATCTTCTCCACCACCTGCACCCTTGTACCCCGGCGCTCTGCCTTCTCAGTGCTTGTCTTCTGGATTTTGTCATCTCAACAGCTGCACCATAAAACACCTGCTAGACCAGACTCCTCTGTCTGATTCCTTCGCACATAGTGCTGGGCATGGTTAAAAGCTTTCGCTTGATAATGCCAACTGTGTTCTGAATTACTGCATTGTGATTAACGCACATAATGGAAACCGTCTATATTTTACCCCATGATAAACCTTTTTTTTTTTTTTTGGAGATTTAGTGTTTTTTAACTGATGGGACATATAGTATTTGATTTTTATATATAGTATTCCTATATAGACCTAAAATAGGATTTTTCTTTAATTATTGTATCTTTTTCTTAAAACAAGCAAACCAAATACCCTGTACAAGGACATTTGGTGCAGTTAGGAAAGTCAGTGCAAGATTAACTTGCTTGGGGAATCACATGGAGCAGCTCCTTTTTAATAATCTGGGGGACTCAGCTGAGAGAGGATTCCCACTCGGGTGGGCTGGGACTCTCCTCTGGGCTCCGCCCGTCAGCACTGTCGCCTCTGTTAGACAAAACCCTGGGAAAAAGACAGCTCACAGTTGAACTTCACTGTCCCACATGCTCTGTATACAGAAAATTTCACTGACTCTCGGCTTTACTCCTTGACATACATTGGCTTCCTGGTGATTCTACTTAGTTTCCAAAAACAATAATTGGCATTTGTAGTCTTGTTATCAAGTTCAAATTATATAATATATAAATACATATATATACATGCACATATATATGTATATATCTGTAGTTATATCTAATGTGTATATACATACACATACATACCTCTGGAGATATAGATGTATATTTACTGGTGGTTCCTCAGTCTGATCCTTGTTTAGTGACTGCATTGAACTCACTTGGGGAAAGGATGGTTTTTTGGTTGGCTGGTGGAAGTGATGAAATTCCAGTTGAGCTATTTCAAATCATAAAAGATGATGCTGCTGCACTCAATATGACATCAAATTTGGAAAACCCAGCAGTGGCCACAGGACTGGAAAAGATCAGTTTTCATTCCAATCCCAAAGAAAAGCAATGCCAAACAATGTTCAAACTACCACACAATTGCATTCATCTCACACACTAGTAAAATAATGCTCAAAATTCACCAAGCGAGGCTTCAGCAATAAATGAAACGAGAACTTCCAGATGTTCAAGCTAGATTTAGAAAAGGTAGAGGAATCAGAGATCAAATTGACAGCATCCATTGGATTGTAGAAAAATCAAGAGAGTTCCAGAAAAACATCTACTTCTGCTTTACTGACTATGCCAAAGCCTTTGACTGTGTGGATCACAACAAACTGTGGAAAATTCTTCAAGAGATGGGAATACCAGACCGGCCTCCTGAGAAATCTGTATGCAGGTCAAGAAGCAACAGAACCAGACATGGGACAACGACTGGTTCCAAATAGGGAAAGGAGTACGTAAAGGCTGTATATTGTCACCCTGATCATTTAACTTATATGCAGCATACATCATGAGAAATGCCCTGCTGGATGAAGCACAAGCTGGAATCAAGATTGCCAGGAGAAATATCAATAACCTCAGATATGCAGATGACACCACCCTTATGGCAGAAAGGGAAGAAGAACTAAAGAGCCTCTTGATGAAAGTGAAAGAGGACAGTGAAAAAGTTGGCTTAAAGCTCAACATTCAGAAAGCTCAGATCATGGCATCTGGTCCCATCACTTCATAGCAAATAGATGGGGGAACAATGGAAACAGGACAGACCTCATTTTGGGGGGCTCCAAAATCACTGCAGTTGGTGACTGCCGCCACGAAATTAAAAGACGCTTGCTGCTTGGAAGAAAAGCTATGACCAACCTAGACAGCATTAAAAGGCAGAGACATTTCTTTGCCAACAAAGATCCATCTAGTGAAAGCTAGTGTTTTTCCAGTAGTCATATATGGATGTGAGAGTTGGACCATAAAGAAAGCTGAGTGCTAAAGAATTGATGCTTTTGAACTGTGGTGTTGGAGAAGACTCTTGAGAATTTCTTGGACTGCAAGGAGATCCAACCAGTCCATCCTAAAGGAGATCAGTCCTGAATATTCATTGGAAGGACTGATGCTGAAGCTGAAACTCTAATACTTTGGCCACTTGATGTGAAGAACTGCCTCATTGGAAAAGACCCTGATGCTGGGAACGATTGAAGGCAGGAGGAGAAGGGGATGACAGAGAGATGGTTGGATGGCATCACTGACTCAATGGACATGAGTTTGAGTAAGTTCTGGGAGTTGGTGATGGACAGGGAAGCCGGGCGTGCTGCAGTCCATGGCGTCGCAGAGAGTCGGACATGACTGAGTGACTGAACTGAAATGTGCTGGGTCTTAGTTGTGGCATGTGGGATCGTGTTCCCTGACCAGGGATAGAACCCAGGGCCCCTGCATTGGGAGTACACAGTCGTAACCACTGGACCACCAGGGAAGTCCCAGAAGGTTGAACTAATCCAGGTTTCAGACTTTCTGCCCGCAGTCACCTGCAGGTTTCCCTCATACTTCCTAGTCTACGCCTGTCTGTCTCCACTGACGCTGCCGTCTGTCTTTGTTGTAGAGGATAGGAGTGAAGGCTTTGTAATGGAACAGATGGGGTTTGAATCCTGACTCTGTCATTTTCTCTTTGATCATTAGCAAACCTCAACACTGTTTTAAAAAATTGATCTATTTTTAATTGAATGATAATTGCTCTACAGTATTGTGTTGATTTATGCCAAACATCAACATGAGTCAGCCATAGGTATACCTACGCCCCGTCCCTCCTAAGCCTCCCTACCACCTCCCTCCCCATCCCACACCTCTAGGCTGTTGCAGAGCCCTGGTTTGAGTTACCTGATCTGTACTATGGGGACAGGAATTCTGCCTCCTGATGTGAGGGGTAAATAATAATGGACACACTGGTCCAACCTGTGTTTTGTCCATCAGGAGCTCCTCTCTACACTGTATTTGGCATGTTGTTTTTATGCACTGTTTTTCTAATATATTTGAGCTGTTCTTAGAAAATTTCAGAGAAGCCTATAAAATCCAACAAGACTCGGTATAATCTATTGTCTCTGACTGGAGAAGGAGGGGTCATTCAGAGTCCTGAGTGTGATTTACCTAGAAGCAGCCTGTTGGATTTCCTCAGGTGAGGCCCCAAGAACTTGTTTCTATGTTTAAATTATTGTTTTTCTCCAATCAACTTGCAGCCGAGATAAAAATCTGTTTCAAATACTACCACGGCATCAGTGGAGCCCTGCGCGCCACGACCCCTTGCATCACGGTGAAGAACACTGCTGTGATGGTGAGTGCCCTTCTGCCTGCTTCCTCGAGCCTCAGTTCCAGAGGCCTTGGTTTCTATTTTTGCCTCGGCAGCTCTGGCAAGGTTATGGGAAACAATGAAAAAGGAAACACATAACAGCGTGGGTGCCGTTTTGGGAAAGGAAATAACTTACAGGATGGCTTAACTAAATCCATAACACAAATCAGTGGGAAAATATGGCTTGATTAATAATTCTGTATATAGTCAGCTCTCTAGGGAATCTTCTCATGAAAGAAATCAGTGAGTGGCCACCATGGAAAGTTTTATAAACTCTGTTGGGGTGGCTGGTTGGTAGGAAATGGTGGCATTGCATCTTTTGTGAATTTAGTTTACATGAACTCAGTGGGTAAAAGAGAGAGGGAAAAAAAGCAATTTAAATAGTGAGTGAGTCTACCTTCCAGTCCGCTTAGCAAGCTTTCACCCAAAGAGAGTGTGAGATAGGATTGTGAATGTGCTACTCCTTTGGAAGTTCTTAGGGCCAAATCCCTCTGGATGCTGAGTTGAGCTCTAGTGCCTACAGGTAGCACACATATTTTCGGTATGGCTACTCAGCAGAAGCAAACCTCTTTACCAGGTCCTCAATTAAGGAAGCAGATGTCTAGTTTAGCTTTGGAGGAAACTGATTGTGTTGGACTTTTGAAGGAGAGTGTGTCCATTTCCAATATGGTACTTTTTTAAGAATTACTTTTCACAATTTTGTGATTTTTCACTTCACCAACTAACTTTCGAATCTAACAGTTTCACAAAATGCATTCCATTGTATATGGATGGTTGGATTTAGATAGCTGTCCCAGGTGGTACTAGTGGTAAGGAACCCGCCTGCCATTATAGGAGACATAAGAGACATGGATTTGATCCCTGGGTCTGGAAGATCACCTGGGGGAGGAAATGACAACCCATTCCATTATTCTTGCCTAGAGAATCTCTTGGACAGAGGAGCTTGGCAGGCTACAGTCCTTAGGGTGACAAAGAATTGGACATGACTGAAGCGACTGAGCAGACATGGACTTAGATAGTTTGGGGAGATTCTGAGAGTCCAAGATATGTAAATTATTGCAGTTCTTATAAGTCATTAATAAAAATCAGGTCAAGAAAACTCAGAAGAAAAATATCAATTCCCATAGTATAAAATCTTCATAATATTATATATGTGTGTACACATTTACAGATGTATGTGTTTTTGGAAATAGGTAAGTGGACAGGTTTACGCCCTGAAATTCAGAAAGTAATTTCTGCAGATGGCATTTTGAAATTGTCTGACCCACCAAAGCTATATCAAGCAATCTTTCCCTTTCATTAATTCATCAAACAGATATTCACTGGGTGCTCTAAGTGTCAGGCTTATACTCACCACTAGGAGTGAAATGATAAGCAAAAACACAGCTTTCTTGTTTGGTAGGGCTTGAGAGACATATCAGTTAATGTATTTATTTGAGTGATAATTACTACGAGTAACAGTAAAATGACGCTATAAGAGCATATACTAGCAAGATTCATCCTGATCAGAAAGGTCTTGGAAGGCTTCCCTGAAGAAGGCATGTTTATTGGACAATCTGAAGGATGCATAGAAGTTGCTTAGGTGAAAAGGGGGAGGGAAGAGCATTTGAGATAGAGGGAACAATATGTGTAAAATTTTCAGTATCTAAGTCCTCTGCTCACATTTGAATTATATTTGAGTTTCTACTGAAGTGACCAAAGTATAGAACATTAAAAATAACCCACATTTACTATATTAGACTTTGAAGGTTCACAGAGAGAATAACAGTTGTTGACTAGAAAATCTGTAGTTATGTGCACGGGAACATGCTATAATTAATATTCTAAAAAAATTACAAAACTGGAAAAGTGGGGCTGTTTATAATAAAACTTTTGAAAGCTTAACTGTGTGTGAAATTAAATAACAGCTTCCAAACATGACTTTCTGGATTCAGATTTTCTTAGACTTGAGCAATTTCCATGATCAGATATCACTGATGGCAGGGGGAGCTTACAGCCTGGTGAGCATTGATCTCATTTCATTGATTTTGCATTGAGATTGTTCTGTCAAAGCCTGTGGACAGTTGGAGATAATTAATTTGCTTCAGGCATATTTTAGACCAGCTTAAAAGCTCCACAGATACAACACTCAAAATCATAATAGAACATTTTGGTTTGAAGACTGACTAATGGAATTGATGGTCAATAGATTTCTGACCACGCTTGAGATGTTGGGTCTGTATCCATTATTGAGAGGCTGTGCCAATGGGCATTTCATTGTGGGCTGAGCACTGGGTCTCTATGACAGCATGATGGTCACCTAGGTGTATGACCTGTGTGTAGGTATTGTGATTGACTGACAACATTGATATTCACACACCCCTTTCAGTGTGGTTATTCCACAATAAGATGCAAAGAATAGTTGGGCAATAGAAACCACATTTTCATTCTTGGTGGTGCTAAAATTGGGAGCTTGATTGGCTCTCAGCAAGTATCTGTGGTTTATTATATTGTGTTATACCCATCTGACTCATCATTCCCAGGTTAAATAGAGCAAAGACAGCACCGCACTGGCCAGACAGCATTACTGTCTGCTTCTCCCTGCCTTCACCATCCCCACACTACTGGACTACAAGGTCGCGAATAGCAAGGTAGTACGGACTACACCTGAGACAGACATAGCAACATGCCTGCCTCCTGTGCCGGGCATCTCACAGATCATGGCCTTCCCTCAAGTGGACCACACTGCCTCGGGGGATGCGCCCCCTCTGAAGACATGATGTCTTTGCATGCCAAGTGAGATCAATGGGACTCTGAAAAGATCCATAGTCTCATCATTCAAAGCCTACTCAAAATGTTGTAAGATGTTATCGAAACTAAGGAAAATGCCCTCAAATCCTCCTTTTAAATATGTTCCCTGTCTGGCAAAAGGCTAATATGAAATAATTCTCACATAATTCATAGGCAAACCGTGTCCTTTACCAGGACTCTGGTGAATGCTCATATGAGCTAATATTCAGAGAATCCAACTTTATCATTCATGACAATAAAGCCAGGAAAGACCAAAGCTGACCACCAGATATAGTGACATCAGTAATAATAAACACATCTGCACTCTATTTAGAGAGAGGATTTTAAATAAACTCCCTTCATAGATTTAATCCAGGAAAGCTCATAAGCAACACTGTTAATTCTGTTGAAACAATGCATGGTAGTGAGTGATGGTCGCTTTTATCTGTTCCTGAAGTGAAGAATTTCCTGTTCCAGGTGACATACATCACTGTGTACTCCGATGAATGAAAATGACGTCAAAGTACACATGACAGAGAAGACACAATTTTTTAAAAAATTCTTGGTTCATTGCAGAAGGATATGTGATAAAGGAGACCATATGATTAGGATGGCAGCTCATTTCCTCCCCTGTAGAGTTTCTCAGTTACTTCTTTCAAGACTATTTGCAATTGGATGGAACGAAGTAAAGATGTATGGGTGGTACTCTAGTCTATTACCAATGACGTGTGATGCAATCAGGAAGTAGTTAAGTGTCATACAGGATAGTCTTGACTAAGGTACAGAAACTAGTCAGGAGGGACTTCCTTGGTTTGAGAATCTGCCTTCCAATGGAGAGGATGCAGGTTCAGTGTCTGGTTGGGGAACTAAGATCCCACGAGTCACAACTCCTGAGCCCATGAGCTCTAGAGCCTGTGTTCCCCAACAGGACAAGCCTGTGGCCACGAGGAAGGCCCACCACAGCCCCCAAAAGAGAAAGAAAGTCGGAGGTGAAACTGCCTGGCTAGAATTACCTAGCAGGGTGGAGAGTGTTTAATTATATTTGAAGCTCCCCTGGTGGCTCAGATGGTAAAGAATCTGCCTGTAGTGCAGGAGACCCAGGTTTGATCCCTGGGTCGGGAAGATGCCCTGGAGAAGGGAATGGCAGCCCACTCCAGTATTCTTGCCTGGGATATCCCATGGACAGAGGAGCCTGGCAGGCTACAGTCTATGGGGTCATAAGAAGTTGGACCAGACTGAGTGACTAAGTACATAAAGCACTCAGAAAGTAGAAATTTGTTTATCATTATTTGAATGGAATTTAGTTTCAAGTTCCTCAACTTTGCTTAGATTAGTGAAAGTTTTATTTCTTGGTAATGTACGATTTTTAAAGAAGGTGGGGAGTGCCATAAAGATAAGATGGAAGGGTTTAATCTAACCTTCAGAATTAAAACTATTCAAAATATATTCTTAACTATTCAAAATATATTCTGCCTTCAGTTCTGTTTCTTACAGTATTGCAGACTTCTATTTTAAAGAACCACAAAAACATTTTTTCCTAAAAAATTTTTCCTTGTTTTTTTTTAACCACAAGTTGAGCACTAATTATACATTAATTGAGAGAAAGACTTAATCTGCTCTGTGGTCTATAAATGAGTGAGATATAACTTACTCAGAAGCTTTTAGGAAAAGCTTTACAATGCGATGATAATACAATAGGATTCCAAGTTCTTATTGTTGCTAGTTGTAATAGCATGTGTCATATGCCAGCAGCATAATAAAATAGAAGCTTATGAGGGCGATGGGACATTCACATGGTCACTCAGAAATATTTAACAGGAGATAATTCTATCTATATATGAATGAATTTGATATAAATCACATGTTTAGTTTATTCTAGGTTTTCCTAATTGGAAGAAATTTGATGTTTGATTTTTAACTTAAGGGCATGTTTTAATACTATAATAGCAATATAAGTACATTTACTACATATCAACTATATTCTTATCAAAGAAATAAAAAGACATGAAGTAGGTTGATTCCTATCCCAGGGATTATAAAAGTTCATGTTGGTCATATTTTGGGCAAAGGTTAAATTTAGGTATGACCTTTTCTGTCATCTTTTGAGAATCTGCTTTTGTGTGTTGATTCCAAGTTTTGTAGCAAACAAAATACATGAAGTCATGTATTACAATACATGTTTGATAAAAAAACCATCATATTTGCAAACATATGTGGTTCCCTAGGAAGGTGTTATATTCCTTTGAAACTTCAGATATGTGTTTTTTTCTCTGCAGATGGGGGCAGAAGGCATGGAAGGAGGGGCTTCAGGAAATCAGCATTCTCGGAAGCTTGTTAGCTTTACTTTGTCAGGTAAGGATATCTTTAAACACTATGTCCAGTTTGAAAGTGTGCAAGTCATACTTAGGAACAGTTGTTTCTTTCCATAGATTCTTAAATATGATATGCAAAGTATTTTTTTGTAATATTTCTGGAAATTCAAGCATATTTCTTACCAAGGTAAAATTAAATGATTAGTATATATTCAGAAATTATTTCTTCTAGGAAGTTTTCTGGTGATAAAAAGACTGTCACTTAAGAAAAACTGTAATGCAATATGTGCTAATCCCACTATAGAGATTTGATATTGAAAACAATTTGTGCTTACCTCATTTAGAGAAAGGAAAAATTTAGAGACAAAGGATTAAAAAGCCCAAGAGATACTCCTGTTTCTATGGAGAAATACATATAAATATTGGAAAATGGAGAAGACGAAATTTTGTTGTTTATTTTCTGGGTAGTAAAATATTCTGATTGTTGTATATTTATCAAACAACTAAAGCATTACTTTTCAGCTTGTGAGTTGGAATTCATTTGTGGTTTATAAGATTAATTTAGTTGAAACTAACAATTAAAAAAAGAATAGGAAAAAAAATAGAGTTTAAACACTAAAGGGAAATGTTTTTCATAGAACACCAGTTATTCAAACTGAAAATCTTCACACATAAAAAATACACACCTGTATATGTATAAAATGAGTTTCAGTATAATGGATTTCATACAGATGTCACTGTCAAAAGAAGTTTGAAAGCCAGTGATTAAAAAAAAAAAATTGATTGGCAGTTTTAAAAGGCCAAGAACCCCCTTCACAGATCACAGCCTTGTTGTGGCAAAAGGGCTTGTGAAATGGAGCTATGGGCCATGCTCTGCAGGCCCACCAACGATGCACGCATCACAGTGAAGAGCTCTGACCAAGCGCAGTCCAGTGGGAGAGGAGACAGCAACCCACTCCAGTGTTCTTGCAGTGAGAACCCCATGGACAGGATGAAAAGACAAAAAGATACAACACTGGAAGATGAGCCCCCCCCGCCCCCAGGTCAGAAGGCGTCTAATATGCTACTGGAGAAGAGCAGATGGCAATTACTAAGAGCTCAATAAAGAATGAAGTGGCTGGGGACAAAGCAGAAATGATGCTCATTTGGGGATATGTCTGGTAGTGAAAGTAAAGTCTGATGCTGTGAAGAACAGTATTGCACAGGAAGCTGGAATGTTAGATCCATGTATCAAGTGGAATGTTAGATCCATGTATCAAGGTAAATTGGGCATAGTCAAGCAAGAGATGGCAAAAGTGAACATCAGCAGCTTAGGAATCAGTGAACTAAAGTGGATGGGAATGGGCAAATTTAATTCAGATGACCATTATATCTACTACTGTGGGCAAGAATCCCTTAGAAGAAATGGAGTAACCCTCATGGTCAACAAAAGAATTCAAAATGCAGTATTTGGGTGCAACTTCAAAAACAGCAGCATGATCTCAGTTCGTTTCCGAATCAAAATATTCAACATCACAGTAATTCAAGTCTATGCCCCAACCACTGATGCCAAAGAAGTTGAAGTTGACCAGTTCTATGAAGACCTACAAGACCTTGTAGAACTAACACCAAAGAAAGATGTCCTTTTCACCATAGGGGGTTGGAGTGCAAAAGTTAGGAGATACCTGGAAAAACAAGCAAGTTTGGGCTTGGAGTACAAAATGAACCAGGGCAAAGGCTAACAGAGTTTTGTCAAGAAAACATGCTGATATAGCAAACACCCTTTTCCAATCACCCAAGAGACAACATGGATATCACCAGATGGTCAATACTGAAATCAGATATTTGTGTTCTTTGCAGCTGAAGTTGGAGAAGCTCTGTACAATCAGCAAAAACAAGACCTGGAGCTGACTGTACCTCCAATCTTAAGCTCCTTATTGCAAAATTCAGGCTTAAATTGCAGAAAGTAGGGAAAATCACTAGGCTACTCAGGTATGACCTAAATCAAATCCCTTATGATCATATAGTGGAGCTGACAAACAGATTCAAGGGATTAGATCCAGTAGACAAAGTGCCCAGAGAACCATGGATGCCTGTGTGTAACATTGTACAGGTGGCAGTGACCAAAACCATCCCAAAGAAAAAGAAATGGAAAAAGATAAAGTGGTTGTCTAAGGATGCTTTACAAATAGCTGAGGAAGGAAGAAAAGCAAAAGGCCAGGGAGAAAGAGAAAGATACACCCATCTGACTGCAGAGTTCTAGAGAATATCGAGGAGAGACATGAAGGCCTTCTTAAATGAACAGTGCAAATAAATAAAGGAAAACAGAAGAATGGGAAAGACTAGTGATCTCTTCAAGAAAATTGGAAATACCAAGGGAACATTTCATGCAGAGATGGGTACAATAAAGGACAGAAACAGCAAGGACCTAACAGAGGCAGAAAAGAAGAAGAGGTTGCAAGAATATACAAAAAAGGTCCTAGTGACCCAGATAACCATGATAGTGTTACCACTCACCTAAAGCTGGATATCCTGGAGTGTGAAGACAAATGGGCCTTAGGAAGCGTTACTGCAAGCAAAGCTAGTGGAGATGATGGAATTCCAGTTGAGCTATTTCAAATCCTAAAAGATGATGCTGTGAAAGTGCTGCACTCAGTATGCCAGCAAATTTGGAAAATTCAGCAGTAGCCACAGGGCTGGAAAAGATGTTTTCATTCCAATCCCAAAGAAGGGCAATGCCAAAGGATGTTTGAAGTACCGTACAATTGCAGTCATTTCACATGCTGGCAAGGTTATGCTCAAAATCCTTCAAGCTAGACTTCAGCAATGCATGAACTGAGAACTTCCAGTTGTACAACCTGGGTTTCAAAAAGACAGAGGAACCAGAGATCAACTTGCCAACATTCATTAGATCATGGAGAAAGCCAGGGAGTTCTAGAAAAACATCTATTTCTGCTTCACTGGCTATGCTAAAACCTTTGACTATGTGGATCATGAGAAACTGTGGAAAATTCTTAAAAAGATGGGACTACCAGACCACCTTACCTGTCTCCTAGGAAACATGTATGCGGGTAAAGAAGCAACAGTTAAAACCAGACATAGAAAAATGGACTGGTTCAAAATTGGGAAAGGATTATGACAAGGCTATATATTGTCACCCTGCTTATTTAACTTATATGGAGAGTACATCATTCAAAATACTGAGCTGGATGAGTAACAAGCTGGAATTCAGATTGCTAGGAGAAATACAAACATCCTCAAATATGCAGATAACACCATTCTTATGGCAGGAAGTGAAGAAAAACTGAAGAACCTTTTGATGAAAGAAGGTGAAACAGGAGAGAGGAAAAAGCTGGCTTGAAACTCAGCACTCAAAAAACTAAGATCATGGCATCTAGTCCCATCAGTTCAGTTCAGTTGCTCAGTCATGTCCGATACTTTGCGACCCCATGGACTGCAGCATGCCAGGCCTCCCTGTTCATCAACAACTCCTGGAGTTTACTCAGACTCTTGTCTGTTGAGTCAGTGATGCCATCTCCAACCATCTCATCCTCTGTTGTCCGCTTGTCTTCCTGACTTCAATCTTTCCCAGCATCAGGATCTTTTCAAATGAGAGTTCTTCATATCAGGTGCCAAAATATTGGAGTTGCAGCTTCAACATCAGTCCTTCCGATGAACACCCAGGACTGATCTCCTTTAGGATGGACTGGTTGGATCTCCTTGCAGTCCAAGAGACTCGCAAGAGTCTTCTCCAACACCACAGTTCAAAAGCATCAATTCTTCGACGCTCAGCCTTCTTTATAGTTCAATTCTCATATCCATACATGACCACTGATTTCTTTAAGGAGATCAGTATTTGAAATGGACTTTTGAAACAGCCAACTGTACTGTAGCACATGTAAGATAAATTCTAACAGATGTCTGTCACCATAAGATGTTTTCATTTTTTCCATTGATGTAATACTTCTGAAACTTAAATTATTGATAGATTCACTTTTCTTCACTGCAGAAAATGTTATTCATGAAAATTGACATTTTTAATAGTGAAAGTTAGGAGGCTGATCTTGAAAACACACATCCATGGATGCATAATTATCATGTATGATGGAAGCTCATGTGTTAGCTCATTTCTGGCCCAAGGCCATTGTAGTATCCATTTCTAGTCTAGCATGTTCCTTCCCCTCCCCATATGAAGTTACTTACCGTGACTACCTTTTTGCTTCAGTTCTCTGGCAGATCTCAGAGGCTATAAATAATTCAAATTTGACCAATAGATATATTTTGGTTGGAACCCTCAGGATTTTAAAATCTAAGTATTTAAAAATACTTAGTACCACCGCCTGTGATAAACTCCTCACCCCCCTTATCTGTCTTTCTTCTGAAAATATTTCAGTGGCTACCTGTGCTTCAGGGTTCTGGGACGGGGGGAGGGGGGAGGGTGGGCTGCAGGAACAGAAATGGACCCTTCCTTTACAGATAAGGAACACTTGGCAAACCTCCATGGCCCAGAAAACTTAGTTTCCCATACCACAGTTTTCTTATTTTAGAACTGCTCTAAGCTTTCGAGTGATCAATATTTTTCTAAACATGACACACACATATTGATTTTGACCTCAGAGGGGATGTTAATTAACCCACCATTCGAGAACAACCAGATGAGAGCTGAACATCCCAAGACATTTTCCTGAAAAGCAGAAAATAAGTTTTGGGGCATAGCCAGATGCTTTTTCTTTATATACAACATTTTCCAATATCCACCGCAGTATACATGGAGGCTGGCTATCTAAAAATCTGTTTTATTTCCTACTGTGTGATCAGTTATTTGCAGATGATGTACAGAAATGTCTAAAAAGTATAGAAGATGAAAGCAATTTTATAATGGTAATCCTAAATAATTCATCTGGTGTAGCATATTGACAGTGGATGACAGTATTTATGGAGAACATTTAAGCTGTGTAGAATATCTATCTCCAAATATTCTGCTGTTATCTATGAATAAGTAGGGACACAAATAATTGAACTCTACAGATAAAACAAAAACTGTTTTTTGATGAAAGTCTTAAACCTCTTCTCCAAGTAAGAAGTTAAAGATATTTAACCTGTCGTTCCTTTGTGACTGTGAGTCCTTCTTTAGCCTATTAGGTGTTATGCATATTTATGAGCAATAAAATATGTAAAACATAAAAGAGGAAGACAAGGTATGGATAAAGTGAACTGTATAATCAGAGTACAGATAACTGGTAGTTTATTGTATTTATTAATGGAGACTTACTTGTGTAGTGTCTCTTGTAGAAAGGGTTAACAGTGACATCTTTCATCGCTGTGGCTTAATCTTCTGGTGGATGCTGTTTTTTCAAAGGAGTGTTTTGCATGAATAATTTAGCTCTGTCAGACTTCATGACAGCCATTTCTGTACATGTACTTGTTTACTGCAAAGAAATCCCTTCTTGAGAAGTAAAAAAATCCCTTTAACAGCTATAGAATATCATTCCTTTGTCTTTGAGTCAGAGGCAAGCCCAACAATAAGGATAAGAAAATATTCAAATCGTGTTTTTTCTCAAAGTTACCAAATAGAACCAAGTGAAAACATGTAGCATTATTAAATTGACAGTAAAATGCAAGTGCTGGATTAATAATGATTCCATAGTAGGACTTGCCAGATGGGATCCGTGGGGCTAATGAGATTATAGCAGCTTCTCTGAAGTGCCTGTCTAGCTCTTTGCTCAATCTTTCCCTTCTCCCATGGGCTTTTAGATGAAAGAGCTTACTGTCTTCCGTGCCGTGTTCTTCACATAGGTCCTCTTGGTTGAGTTTTTCAGTCTTTTCTGATGTCGTAGGCTGCCTCCCTCTGCTGCCGGTTATGAGACAGTGAACAGTCCTGGTCTGTTTTCATCACACGGTATCTAGGCCGCAAGTTTTTTTTGGACATTGGTGACCTTCTTCCGGGGAGCACTCCGTAGAGAATATGGTGCTATGGGCAACCCCAGGCCAGTTCTGTCCTCTGAGAAAGACTTTGTGTTTCGGGAATGGTGGACTTGAGTAGGATGACCCTGGTGACCTTTTAAAAATTGTGATACTCTACAGGGATTCTTCCCCAGCTGATCGGGTCATTCAGAGGTCTTTGAGGGGCTTCCTAGGCGGCTCAGTGGTCAAGAACCCACCTGTCAATTCAGGAGACATATCGGGGGGGCTTCCTGGGTAGCTCAAATGGTGAAGAATTTACCTGCAATGCAGGACATCTGGGTTTGATCCTTGGGCTGGGAAAATCCTCTGGAGGAGGGCACGGCAACCCACTCCAGTATTCTTGCCTGGAGAATCCCATGGAGATAGGAACCCAGCAGGCTACAGTCCATAGGGTCGCAAAGTATCAGATACCACTGAAGCGACTTAGCACACACACACAGGGTCTTTGAGGGTTCAGAGCCTATCCACAGAATTCTTTGAATCAGTGGTCAGGACCTCCCTACACTGATCATAACTATATAAAGTGACCTACAAACTGTCTGTTCTCCAGAAGCTTCCAGGATCACTTAGCTCTCAAGCCAACCTTATGCTACCAATATTCTCAGAAAGGCACTGGGGACCCTGTGAAGCCAGCTTTATCCTGATGTTTTTGCATCCTGTAGCTTGACCATTTTAAAAAGTGTTAGTCTCCTCACTAACCAGACATTAGCCAGAAATTTTAGCAGCTCATATTGTGTGAAATAACAACTGGTGAATCTAAGATGGGACTTTTATGGGACTTTTAACAAATATTTAAGTTACTTAACAGGCTGCTGAAAAAATAACCTTACAGTTATTTAATATAGCAAATAGCAATCAAATTTTAGAAATATTTCTGGTCTCCCTTTTTCGCCTAACATTCATTTGTAGAATATATATGACATTTTACATATGGTACAGCTGAATGTGTGCTCTGAACTTTCATCCCCAATTAAACTTAAGTCTCTGCATTTTGTATGTTTATGCAGAAGATCCAGTTTTATCTCATGAAAGAACATATTGGTTTTCTTTTTAAATACAGTATTTACTAAAGGATTTCTCTTAAGACATTGTGTGAAGTGCTACTTGCCAAGCTACACAGGAAAAGGTGGTGAAGATGCATACATTAGAATCAAAATGGTACCCAGGAAAGTCATTGGAGGTATAGAAGGTGGTGAGACAAATTTGGCTTCATTCTGCAGCCGGTTAGAGGACCCTTTGCTGGAGTTAGTCATAACCTACTTGCCCTCACTTAACTAAGCAATCATAGAGTGATTAATTTTGTTATTGTTTGCTGAATAGTTTGTTTAGAGTTTCCTGTGTAATTATTTAAGAATGAATTGCCATTGATCCGCTTGTTCTAATCAGAATATATGACTCTCTTATCTTCTGTCCCTTTCCTCTCCCTCTCTCTTTCCTTCCCTTCTTCCTCCTCTCTTTCTTTCTTTAAAGACCTTAGGGCAGTTGGGCTAAAGAAAGGCATGTTCTTCAATCCTGACCCTTACCTTAAGATGTCCATTCAGCCAGGGAAGAAGAGCAGTTTCCCTACCTGTGCCCACCACGGGCAGGAGAGGAGGTCTACTATCATCAGTAACACCACCAATCCAATTTGGCACCGAGAGGTAAGATGATCGTCAGAGACCTTCTGCTTGACAAGAAGTTGGCCAGCCCCATCTCTCTCCACTGGTCTCTCTGTCACTGAGCTGCCCATGGGTGTGGGTAAGATGGCTGAGGTGTCTGGAAGTTGTTAGAAAAAGGGTACAATGAGAAAATCCCTTCTAACCAGGGGTGGGTCTAGGGTTAAGCAAATGAGGGACTTCCCTCAGATGTGTTATTTATAGGGTTCAAAAGACTCAATGATCAAAATTAATATTCCAATGCAATATTTTTTAAAGAAATCAAAATAAAGGCAAAAATTAATGATGGGCAAAATATCAAAATTTTGTAAGGACAACATCAGTAACAGTGCCTTGCAGGGCCATATGGGAGCCTGAGGCAGAAGGAAAAGTCAGTAATATCGATCCCATTTTTATTTAAAATTTTTATATTTTGTTCTAGCACATACTCAATATAAATTAAAGGAATTTCTCTCCCTACAGGCTTTGGCAAATGTTTTTTTGATTTCTAGATTTTGGTTAATTCCGCGAGGCAGTTGAGGAGTTGTCGTCCTGAGGGAAGGCACATTGTGTTGATGGTGCTTCAGACTTCCTCATGGCTACAATACCCCGCCAGTCATTGCAATGTGCCATATTAGTGAAATCAAGCCCAGGGTTTTCCCACTGGAAATATTTTTTGTCACAGACTGAACAGAGACATTGATTCTCTTCTAGGGAGCAAAGCGTGAATTCTCCTACCATTTCTCAGGGAATCAAGACACAGTTCACATACTAATTTTAATGAGTGTTTCTGAAAGTGAAAGTGCAAGTCACTCAGTCGTGTCTGACTCTTTGCGACCCCATGACTATACAGTCCATGGAATTCTCCAGGCCAGAATACTGGAGTGGGTAGCCTTTCCCTTCTCCAGGGGATCTTCCCAACCCAGGGATCGAACCCAGGTCTCCCACATTGCAGGCAGATTCTTTACCAGATGAGCCATAAGGAAAGCCCATGAATCCTGGGGTGGGTAGCCTATCCCTTCTCCAGCAGATCTTCCTGACCCAGGAATCGAACCGGGGTCTCTTGCATTGCAGGCGGATTCTTTACCAACTGAGCTAAGACAAATGTATATTGGCATGGGAGTTGCACAGTTAATTAAATCACTCCCTAAATGTTTAATGACAATAATATGTTCTAACAATGCTGAACAGTATTTCACTGGAGAGAGAGTTCCAAGAGTTCCAAAACCAACTGGAGAAAAGCTATGGCTGTTTGAAACTTGCCAACACAGCAAGATGTTTTTCTTGGGAAGTTTTCGTGGTTATTTTAGTGGCTAAATATTGCCAGTTTTTTTATTCCTAGTGTGAAATACTGTCTCCAAATAGTGAATAACTCTTAAGGAAATACCACTTAATTTAACACATTAGAAGCCTAGATGATGGCAAGATGATCACTTAGAAGGCAAAGAGTGGAGATAGTAATGATACTAGCAATAACTTTATTTTTCTAACATTTAATATTTACAGAGTTCTTAGCCATGTTACCAGTACAGGCATGATAAAGGATATGTAAGGGATGATAGTCTCATCTATTTTTGTGATTAATGAACAAAAGCTTAAAATGTTCATGTAACTAGCTATTCAGGGGCAGAAGTAGTGCTTAAACTCTGCTGTCTTATTCTAAGCAAGTGCTTTTTCCATTAAGCAGATTGCTAAACTTCATGGCCCTTTGGGGAAATTAAATTGTTATGACTATATAAACTCAGTGACCCCTGAGTGTAAAGTTGGCTGGCACTAGTCAGACATCCTTGTTGTTGCCTAGATACTACCAGGGACAGAGACAAATGGTTCAGGTTAGATTTCTGGCTCCATCATTCACTTTTTCTGAGACCCTCATCATCAAAAGGAACACCTTATCTTTGTAATATATGTGAAAGTGTTTGTAAGTGAGTAAAGTTGGTTATTTTTCTTTTACATCCTTATTAATATCTGATCCATTTTTTCCAATGGCGTTCTGAAAACAACAAAGCTTATCTTAACCTCATACTTTTATTTTTCTATCCCAGTAGAAATGTCTCTGTGTGCCTTTTAAATTAAGTAACTTCTATTTGAACATTGTTTTATTTTGCTATAAACCAGGGAAATCATAATATTCCTTAGGTGCTTCTATTTTAACCACTAAGTGAAGGACGATGATGTGCAACTTCAAAATGCCATGGGATCAGGAATTAAGTTTGCTGTTAATCAGAGTATTGGTTAATTCTAAGCCACCGTATAACAGGATATTAAATATTAAAGAGTTAAAATGCAGTAAATGTGGTGAGCACTAAAATTGTATTGTGCATAATTTAATATTTGATAGTATCTCCTCGAACTATTCAACCCAGAAGAGTTGGATGACTGAAGGTACTTCCTTTGTCATCAAGATCCTGGCTGTTGCTTTTTAATCTTTGTGACTGTTCATGATTCTGATTGAATAAAAGACTGACAGTTGTTGCAGATCTTTCTGGCAATGTAGACTCTCTGTGTCATTAGAATTTAAGAGATACTATTTTTTCTTATAGTCATTTACATTAATAAAATGATATACATAATTTCATATTTCTTTTTTGACTTGTGTTATGTTTTGTTTTCAGAAATACTCCTTTTTTGCACTCCTTACTGATGTCTTAGAGATTGAAATTAAAGACAAGTTTGCTAAGAGCCGGCCTATCATTAAGCGTTTCCTGGGGAAGCTCACCATTCCAGTCCAGAGGCTACTGGAGCGGCAAGCCATTGGGTAATCAGGGATCCTGTTGCAAGTAGTATCCACTGAAGCAGCTGAAATGATACTTTGAAGTCCTAGGACTTTTCTCACTGATAAGAAGTGATAACATACTTCTTTTAAAATTGAAAGTGCTGGTATATGCCTCAAAATGTGCAGGACAAAAAGGACTTTATTTTCATGTACCTTTTTTGAGTTATCTATCTTTTCCAAGATGTACCTACTATTAGCATTTCAGTGTAAAATGTCACAGTGTTTAATTGATTTTTTTGAGTATATGGAGTATATTGCTATAACAGCCTCTCCTTAGAACAGGATCCCAGTATCAGGTTGATACCTCCCAATCCTGATTAACCCTATCCAGAGATGTTTGTTATGCCTGAGATACCAAAACCACCATATTTTAGGGCCATTTAAAACAGAGCCTGGACTCAGAGATGGTGTGGAGCTCTAAGACATGTACTTAGAGCTCTAAGACATTCATTTAGGCAACTAGAAATTATTCATTGAGAGAATTTTAAAATGTGGTTTGACATCTGTCTCCTTTCTGTTAGCTTTTTGTAAGCTGTGAATCAAGTAGTTGAGAAATCATAACATGCCTCCCTTCCTTATTATAAATGGTGGATATATATTTTCACACGGTAAGTACCAGCAAACTCAGTAACACAGCTGCTCTGAGGTAGCACTAGGGGGCATCCTTTTCATTTTAGGAGAACATTATGAATGTATGATAACAGTGGTGGTAGTCAGCAGTATCAGTGATGAACAGTATGGCCCTATTCTATGTCAGGAGTTAAGTAAATTACTCTCATCTGCTTCTATAATCTCAACAACTCTGCGAGGTGAACAATGTTGTTATACCCCTTTCAGAGATGAGGAAGCTGAAGCTAGCAAGCCAGTGGTGGAGCTGGGATTTGAGCAGATCAGTCTGTTCCAGAATCTCGACTTCTCTGCCACACTTTAAGGCTGGCAGTGATGGAATACTCGTTCAGCTAACTGAGAGGTTGATCATTCACAGGCACTTTGCAGCGAATTAACTGTCCTCTTAGCATTTTGACAAGCCACGGTTTTTTCAGACATTAGTTTCCTCGTTTGAAAAATAAAGTCTTTAGACCAGATGATCTCAAAGACCCCTTTGAAATCTGAAATTAAGAGATTCTAATGGAATCTAATTCTCTGTCCATTAGAGGCAATGGTTGAGCAAGACCACATAAAGTAGAAATATTATGCTGAAATTCTAGCAGCCTGGTTTAATTTGATAAAACAGGGAAATTACAATTATTTTTAAGAATAGAAATTATTGCTTCTAGTGGAGATAATACTCTTTTGATGTTGTTGTTCAGTTGTTAAATCATGTCCAGCTCTTTGCTACACCATGGACTGCAGCACACCAGGCTCCTCTGTCCTCCACTATCTTCTGGAGTTTGCTCAAATTCATGTCCACTGAGTCAGTGATACTTTCTAACCATCTTGTCCTCTGTGGCCCCTTCTGCCTTTGCCTTCAGTCTTTCCCAGCATCAGGGTCTTTTCCAGTGAGTTGGCTCTTAGCATCAGGTGGCCAAAGTGTTGGAGCTTCAGCTTTGGGAAGTTTTTAAAAATTATTTTTAGGATTGATAGAAAATGAAAAATTATAATTGGTGAGAATTAACTATTGAAAATATAATGTTTATAATTTAATTTACCTAAGTATAATCATATAATTTATATAATATCTGTGACTTTTGACAGAAGTGTCCATTTATGTATACCCATAAGAATGATCAAGGAAAAATAAAGCCTTATTAGTGCTTGACTCTCCTGTTAACTTGCTGACTTTCATTCAGTCTTTTAAAGAATGGACACATAATACTGCCTAGCATAGATTCTGTGTATATTGGAAGGAAGTCCAGCATGAATTTGCGATATGCCAGAATTATGAAATATTCCACACAAATATATCAAAAGCATTGCCTGATACTTAGGGGTTTGCTTTATTAAATAAATATGATGCTCCATATTAGTGTATCTGCTCTTAGCATCTAAATATATTTTTAATCTGATTATTACTTTCTATCAAGTAATTGATACATCTTGAAAAATACTGAGTTTTCTTTACTTATGTGTTTGTAGACTGAAACTCTCTGAAGTAATTGAAGTTTCATATGGTGAAATTTTATAGGATGAGCTGAAACTCCTTACTGATTACCTGTTTCAAGAGTATTGGTTTGAATGTGACCTTTTTTCAGAGAGTGGCTTGCATTCTGTCCAAAAAGCACATCACTTTCCCATGCTTTGTCGTTTGCTCTGATTACACTAGTGAGAAAATGTCTCAATCAGTCAGGCAGTGGGAGTTCTTTGGCACTTATTCTTTATAATTATATACCATAATAATATATAATATAGGGTACACAATTATCTATCACAGGAAAGAGGCAGGATGAGTCAGATGAAACTAAGAATAAGAAGCAGGTGAATCCCCTGGCAGTCACTTAGCAAGGATGAAACCCCCTTGACTTGGAATTTCTGAATAGGGAGTCTTTCCTGTACTTACAGATGGTAGAGTTGAGTATCTTGTCAGTTTGGGTTAAAAACAGCACTAATACCTATTAAAAATCTTTTTTCAAAGTAAAGAGTCTCATTTGTTAAATTTATTCAACAAATATGTGGATGTGTATACGTATAGTATCTACTAAATGTTAAGCACTGTTTTGGGTATTCGGAATATGATAATGAGCAAAAGAATGGATCCCATTCTTAGAATCCCTGCTAAACTTTTACTTCCTAGCTAAAATTCATCACTTTTTTAAGTCTTCATCATCAACACCAACACTTTACTTTTATTGCCCAAAGAGGAGGAGAGGAGAGTCAATTTGATTTTAGCAAAGAAGGGAAGATTTTATTATTCCAAGACTGAATGTCCAAAGAGATGGATGAGGACCACAGTATTGAGAGCAGGTTCAGGTAGTTTGCTGCTGGCTTCATGCATTAGTGGACAAAGGTGGAGCATCTCTGCGTGTCAGGCACTCTCCAAATGCTGGAAGACAGCAGTCAAGGAAAGAGACATCACTTCTGTTATGCAGGTTGCAGTCATTGTAGAATTATTGGAACACTCATAGCATTTAACATACTTGTATCATCTAACAGTTAATGCCAAAACATCCCTTTACAAAAAAATTTTTTCTTAAAATATCAGCTTAAGTACACAAAACATCGTGATATCAATTGCATTGGGATGATCCATGAGTAAATATCATTAAAATCCATGCTACTTAAAGCAGCCAAGGATTACAGAAAGTGCTCATAAAATGAGATATGATCTGGGGCCTAACAGAGCAGGGGCATCTGTGTCATAGATATCTGTGTTCTAATCCTGGTTCTGTCACTTAATTGTTGTCTGGCCTTGGGCAAGTTACCTATCCTCTCTCTGCCTTAGCTTCCTCCTCTAGAAAACAGGGCCACCGCCTGGCTCACAGGGGAATGATGATGCATGCAAAGCCCTTATTAGGGTGTTAGCACTCAGATGGGGGAAACAAAGCGTTTTAAGAGCATCAATCAAATATTTATTACAAAATTTATAGGGAAGAAAAAGAAAAAAATCTTATTGTTTTAAGAAATTCTTTGTATGAAGCCAAAGAACTTCATAAGAGCTGAACTGGGACTTTACATTAGCATGTGTTCTTTTAAACAGGTAGCGTCTATTTAAAATTATGCTGAGGAGGTAGAGAAGAAGGGAAATCTTGTGTAGATGAGTAATCATAGGGACTGGAGGCTCTGAAGTCTTAGAGCGGTGCAAGTGTTTGGTGGAGGCCTTGTGTTTCCTCCCGAAGCTGCCAATAGAGGGCAGTGTGAGAGCGGAGATGGGTGATCTAGTCCTGTCCCTCTGATTATTTTCCTTAATTAAGAGTTGCTTGCATACAAGGAAATGATGTGATTGTATTTGACTTTAATAAATAAGCACAGAGTTGAAAAATATCAACTATTTCATCCTCCAGGAAGCCGATGGCCTGAGCCTGGAGCTCAGATGGAGCAGAAGCTAGGCAGGGCCAGCTGTGTGGGCCCCTCCTGCCCGCCGGCCAGTATGGCAACAAGACCCCTCCAGGGGGTGCAGCCTGCTTCTCCAGCCATCCCATCAGTATCACTCACAGGTTGCGCAGAGAATCAGTGACAGTCACCCCCACCAAGTGAGGGCCCAGAGCGAGCCCCTTATTCTACAAATGAGAAAGGGGAGGTGCTGCAGCTCCTGCCCTCACACATCGGAGCAGCTCTCAGAGCCTGGCCTGTTCACACTCAGCTCTCTGCTAGCTCCCACTCCTGTTCTTCAGGATATAGCAGCTCTGTGTCCTCCACGTGATGACCCTTAGCTCGTCTGTCTTTTCTTTTGTGCATGGCACATGGCATATCGTAGTTCCCCAACCAGGGGTCAAACCCCCGCCCCTTCCAGTGGAAGCTCGGAGCTGTAACTGCTGGACTGCCAGCGAATTCCCCGTGCCTGCCTTTTTGGAGGGGCTTCCCTGGTAAAGAGCCTGCCTGCGGTGTGGGACACCCGGTTCAATCCCTGGGTCTGGAGGACCCCCTGGAGAAGGGAATGGCTACCCACTCCAGTATGCTGGCCTCATGCTAAATGCCAAGGAACCAGGCCCTCTATTCATTTATACTTGAGTCAGAAAACACTCAAAATTCTAGGCCTTTTCCAGCTCCTTGATGGCTTTTAAAATGTCCTTTTCCTGATCAGTCTTAGCAGTGAGAGAACAAATCAGTGCCCTTTGAAAAATCATAACAACATTGTATTGCATTTTGTATTATATTGCATTTACTAATAATTTTCCTTGTGACAAGATTCCCTTTTATCCCTGGGTTTATAAGTATTCATTTGTACAAATGAATAATATTACGTTGAGTCTAACATGCCTTTTCATTTTCTCATGAGTCTGAGAGTTCTAAGAGACATATGTGGAGTTTAGGGGGTGGCCTGCAGGAAGGAGATGAAGCCTACAGCAGAGAAGCAGGATGAAAAGACCATTTCTATTCTTGCAGTGATCAGATGCTCAGCTACAACCTTGGCAGAAGGCTCCCAGCTGACCATGTGAGTGGGTACCTCCAGTTCAGAGTGGAGGTCACATCTTCTGTGCACGAAGGTGAGATATCTGTGTAAATACACCACTGTCATAGAACTTGTTACGTGTTACTGTTGCCAGTTTACATTTGAATATTGTTTGTATCCTGTTCTGAACATAAAATAGCTATCGAATGATAGCTGAAGTTTTCCAAGCAGATATGAAAGCCTGTTTATATATAAAATAAAATCTCACTTAGGTTTTTATCTGTGTTTGGAAACTGGGATGTGGCATTTTCAGCAGTAGTGAACATATAAAACCTCATGTGTCAGGCTGGCCAGCAGTATATGTACCTGCTTAGTAGTGAGCAGTGAATCTCAGCATGTTGGTGATAACTGTAAAGCAGTCTCCAGCCTTTTGGGCACCAGGGACTGGTCTCATGGAAGACAGTTTTTCCACAAACCAGGGATGTGGGGGGTGGCTTTGTGGTCATCCAAGTGCGCTCCATTCGTCATGCTGCCATGGACAGGAAGCGGGGCTCAGGCGTCACGTGAGTGATGTGGAGAGGCTGTGAGTGCAGACGGGGCTTCACTCCCTTGCCTGCCGCCCACCTTCTGCTGTGTGGACTTTGCCAGTGTGTGCCCCTGGGGTTGGGGACCCTTGCTGTGAAGAGCCCTCCGTGGGATGACTGAATTCTTTGAACAGATTGGCGACAAAGGATTGGGATAGTAAAAGTTAATTCGTAATAACGCCTTTGTTTTTATAAATGTTGTTTTCTCCTTCAGATGCCTCTCCGGAAGCTGTTGGCACAATACTTGGAGTCAGTTCTGTGAACGGAGACCTAGGAAGCCCTTCCGATGAGGAGGACATGCCAGGGGGCCATCACGACAGCCCAGTTTGTTCCAACGGCCCAGTTTCTGAGGAAAGTGCTGATGGGACCCCCAAGCATTCGCTCAGGACTAGTTCTACTCTGGAAATAGACACAGAGGAATTAACTTCTACGTCTTCAAGGACCTCACCTCCCAGAGGACGTCAGGATTCACTCAATGATTATTTAGATGCTATTGAACACAGTGGCCATTCTAGGTCAGGTGCAGCTACTTGCTCGGAGAGGTCTGTGGGAGCCTCTCCAAAGCTAAGGAGTAGTTTTCCCACTGACACAAGACTCAATGCAATGCTTCATATCGACTCAGATGAAGAAGACCATGAGTTCCAGCAAGACCTGGGCTATCCATCCTCCTTGGAGGAGGAGGGAGGGCTGATCATGTTTAGCAGGGCATCGAGACCTGATGATGGGAGCCTGACTTCTCAGACAAAGCCAGAAGACAACCCAGTGGAGATCGAGGAAGCCTCCCTTAACGAAGCTGCTTCCTTCGAGGACAAGCCGGGAAGTCTTCCAGAGCTTGCGGAGACCTCTTTACCCTCAGGCCCGGGCCCAGATGAAAGCGAGAATGGCCCAGAGTCTCAACCGAGTGTGGACCAGGGCAGCACTGACTTGTGTGGCTCTCAGGAGGCGGATCAGCCCACAAGTGGGGCCGACACGGGCACTTCTGACACGTCGGGGGGTAGCCGAAGAGCCGTCAGTGAGACGGAGTCCCTCGATCAGGGGTCTGAGCCTTCCCAGGTGTCCTCAGAAACAGAACCCAGCGACCCTGCCAGGACAGAGAGCGTGAGCGAGGCCAGCACCAGGCCCGAGGGGGAGAGTGACCTGGAAGGGGCCGACAGCTCCTGCAATGAGAGCGTTACCACGCAGCTCTCCTCGGTGGAGACCCGGTGCTCATCCCTTGAGAGTGCACGGTTTCCTGAAACGCCAGCCTTTTCTTCTCAGGAGGAGGAAGAAGGAGCCTGTGCAGCAGAGCCCGCCAGCAGTGGCCCTGCTGAAGGGTCCCAGGATTCCACATGCACTCCTGGGTCCTTACCTGCGGTGCAGGCGCCCAGCGGAGAGGAGGAAGGGCCAGGATCGGCCCCTGTACCTGACCAGGAGGAGGTGGGGGCGGTCTGGCAGAGGCGGGGGAGCCTGGAGGGAGCTGCTGCTGCTGCTGAGAGCCAGCCCCAGGAAGAGGGAGCTGCTCGGGAGGCCCCGGGGGCTTGTGAACTGGCCACTGCCCAGGAGGAGGGCGCGATTGGAGGTAGGATGTAGAAGACTGTGGCCCGCGTCTCAGGCATGCCTGCTCAGAGGGTTGCCTCTCAATGTAGATTGTGCTGCAGGTCAGATATTGGCGGAATTCTTCACCTTTGGGTTCAACAGCTTCTTTTGTTTGTTTGTTTTTTTAAATGGATCCTCTATTGCTGAAATAAGAGGGCTGTCAAATAATGAACTTCAAGGCTCCGTATCAATGTGGGCACCTGCTTTCCCTAGGAAAGTGACCTGCTGGCTGGGGGGCCTGTGGTCCTTGCAGCCCTGGAGGCCTGGAGTGCCTCAGGGCACATGTCCAGGAGGAAACCGCCTGCGTGCGTGCTGCGCACGGTTGCATTCACCCGCCCAGGGCTCGGCTCTCTCATCTGGGCAGTGCGAAGAAGCGTTTCATAAGGAATCTCTAGGTGTGTAGGTACAGAACCAGACAGGCTGGCAGCATCTACCAGTATTATCTGTGAGGTTTTCTGGAACGTCTTAGGTCACTCCTCATTGCACGAAGCTTCAACACAGACGGCTCATGTGTGCTTTGCGTCTAAAGTCGTTTTTTGCCTTCTGCAGTATAAGAACTATCAGCTAAGTCAGGTGACGTGTTCTGACACTGGAAATATGCTGTTTGAGTGTCTGAGGATGCAGATTTACATGTAAACTTTGCTTTATCTCTCAGTGAATGTGGATGGGTAGAATGATTCCTTCAAACTCTTCTATTATAGATGCATCAAAAAGCCCGAGGATAATTTCATATGCTTAAATAGCATAGACTCAGAAATAGAAATGATTTTCTTATTCTGTAATTTACTTGCTACCTAAAGTATCCCCTTTTTTCTTCCTCCATATTTTTTTCTCCATTCATTATCTTGAGGTCACTGCGTGACCCTGAAGCGTTGGTGCATGACTAGGACCGAGGCCAGCGTGGGAACAGAAAGAGGAGGAGAGGGGTGGGAAATGTGACTGGCCCCAGGATTTATGTAAAGTTTTTTTTTTTTTAAACAAAGGCTGTTTTGACACTAAATGGGAAAACAATACCCAGGTAACTGTTCACCTTTAATCCTAGGTTGTCAGTCCAACGGCCACCAGCCACTGCGATCGCTGCCTTCAGTTCGCCAGGACGTTAGCCGGTACCAGAGGGTGGACGAGGCTCTCCCACCAAGTGAGGAACTGCTACCTAAAGGGCTCACCTTAATGAAAGGGTGCAAGGGAGACAGGACCCACGGGACTTAAAGGATGGATGCCCAGGACCCCAGAAGAAGGGAGCTGGTAGCTGCCACTCGACTGAGCAGATAGTCTGGGAAATGCTTGGCTGTCGGCTCCTGGCTGGCACTATTCCATCAGATGAAAGGGCAGCTGGGGAAAGTAAATAAAGGGAAAGAAGTCCAGATGTTATGGACAACTGGGTATACAATAGAAAAACTTTAAATTGAGTTTTCAATTATTACACAAATATTCAATTATTGTGTAATTAATTATTACACAAATATTTCAGTTGTTACACATATAGAGATTGTAACAAATAGGTAGAATCTCTTGGAAAAGCTTTAGCTCCATGTAGGTAGAATCTCTTGGAAAAGCTTTAGCTCCATGTATTATACTGTTTTTTATTTATTTGTAACATTTTAAGTCATTAAGTACAGGGTCCTGGTTTTTCTCTTAGGGATATCCAGAGAAGTATTATTAATTTCAGAAGTTACTATTTTTTTTGGAGTATGATGATTATCTGGGGATTTGAAAGACATTTAATTTCCTTCACTTTCTTTTTTTTTTTGGACTAAAAAAAGTCCTTTATTTTATTTTATTTTTTTTCATTTATTTTTATTAGTTGGAGGCTAATTACTTAACAATATTGTAGTGGTTATTTCCTTCACTTTCAAGAAACACATAGCACTTAAAGGAGACATAGGTGAGGACTAGGGATGCTAGGAAAGTTATGAAACCTAAATTCAGAGAACTGAGTGATGCCCATGGCCAATCATTGGCTGGATGTAATTTAAACTCTATTTAAGTCTCTAGAATCCCTTAAAGCAATATTACTCTGTGAGAGCAAGGCATTTTGGTAAATGCTGATATTAATAATAGTAAATACTGCATTTAAGAACATCCTGGAAAATACATCTTTCTGCCTTATTGCTTTTCGTTCTGATTCACCTCTCTGTTCACTCTCTTATATGTGATCATGGCAAGAAGCTGATCCCTTTGGCTCTCTGTGTTTAAAAAATGGTAGGACATAAGAGGGGAGAGATGGTATGCATTTAAAAGGCTAAAATGCTGAGTGGTTAGTTCAGGTGAATTCTGACAAAAGAGCTGAAGGATGCTATGTGCAATTTGTCGAAATATTGAATCATTTGGAAATACTATTGTGCACAGATCCTCCCCTTGTTCATATATTTGGATAACTGAGGGTGATTATTCATAGGAAACATATATTTTAAGCAGTTTTAAAAAATAAGCCAAGAGATAGATTAACCATTGTGTCATCTTAAGCAGGTTGAAGGTGGGGAGGGAAACTTCCTTACTACTTACCCTTGCAGAAAACATTAGGGGCAGAAAAGAAAAATGTTCCTGGGTGATATATAGATATAATTGGAGAAAATTGAATTAGAAACATCAGGAGAGAATTGTGGGAGAGCTTGTTTACATGCATATGTGGATTAATAATGAGTAATTGGAGTTTCAGGCACCTGGACATGAGGCATGGCATTGTGTCAGTGTATGGATAAATGGCATCCTCCTGGCCACCTCTGATGAGATCGGGTGCATTCAGGGTGGTATGGCTGTAGCCTGCTGGCTACATCTGAATTCTGTTGGACTCATAATTTGGTCTCTAGATTGTATTTAAGAAAGACAGGTACTTTCCTGCTGAAATTATGTCCACTCTTTGTGCTGTTTCCATGCATTTGTTTCAACACTGGTATTTTCATTACACAGATGTAATACTGAAATTTTAAGATTTAAAAAAATTAACAATTGGCTGTTCATTTTAACAACTTAATATATCCAAAATGAGAAAAGCACCTTAGTAGTATATTCAATTTAATGAGTAACTGATGAACAGGAGGAAAATTCTTGAGTTGTTCCTTCTTATGTACTATTAACTTACAAATTTGGGGTCTTACATTATCATGAATCAGTTACAGATTATGTCTGAGCATACCTGATGACTGTTCAAACTGTGTCCCCACACTGCTTCGCTCTCTCCTATTCCCAGTCTGTCTCATCTGTTGACAGTTTATTTAATCACTTGGCTGCCTGTGTTATTTGTCTGTCCTGTCCCTGCCAGTTCTCTGCCTTCCCCTCACTGGGCACTGTGCAGCTAGCAGTCTCTGGCTGTGCTTCTAACTTAGAGCTATGGCATTCTGTGTTCACACATTGTCTCATGGGAGCCTCAGCTAAGGGGATCTACTTGGAGTGTGCAGATTGGTCGGTCTCTTAAATGACCTGGCTGAATTATTTTAAGGTTAGGGTTATACTTTCAATGTTACTTATTGTAGTACCTGGGGGTTTCCCAGGTGGCGCTAGGGGTAAAGAACTTGCCTGCTAATGTAGGACATGTAAGACACATGGGTTTGATCCCTGGGTTGGGACGATCCCAGAGGAGGGTATGTCAACCCACTCCAATATTCTTGCCTGGAGAATCCCCACAGACAGAGGAGCCTGGTGGGCTGCAGTCCACAGGGTCACAGAGAGTTGGTCATGACTGAGCGACTTAGAATGCGTGCATACATTATAATACCTAGAACTTATGTAGTGCTTTACAATTTAAAATGCATCTTAAATGTTTTTAAAAAAATTCTTTGTAACAATTTTGTGAAGTAGGTCAAGAAAGTCTTATCTGTAGCTTTTAGATCGATGGGAGGAAATCAACTGATCTGATTCTTTATAGATGGAGAAAGCAAAGCCCAGATAAGTAACTTAAGATTTCATGCTAGTAAAAGTTGAGATGGGCTTCCCTGGTGGCTCAGAGTGTGAAAAATCTGCCTGCAATGCAGGAGACCCTGGTTTGATCCCTGGGTTGGGAAGATCCCCTGGAGAAGGGAATAGCAGCCTACTCCGGTATTCTTGCCTGGTGAATTCTATGGACAGAGGAGCCTGGCGAGCCCCTGTCCATGGGTCACAAAGAGCCAGACACGACTGAGCAACGAACACACAAAAGTTGAGACAGAGTCTCAAACATTTTTTCCTCCTCTGTGATTTAAGATTATAATGATAGGGACTATTGTGTAGGTAGATGAAAGTAAATTCTGAAAGCTTGGTTAGTGGCAAAGTGGTGACATATTTTGGTATTAGGCCCAGGCAACACCTGAAATTAGAGACTTTGGGCAGTGCTCTGAAACTTGATCACATTGTGTTTTGAGGGCAGACCTAGGAAGACTGAGAAGATGCTCAGCTGTCTCTTCTTTCCAGGTTAAAGTTACTTAGCAGAACCTCTCCCTGGGAGGCCCTCACATAGAAGAAGAGTGGTGACAGTATTAACACAGTCTTTTGATGCAGATGGGTTTGGTCTTTTAAGCATCTGTGTTGGACTCAGAAGCGTCTTTTCCTCTGTGTATGTCATTATCCCCACACCTGCAGAATGGGGTACTGAAGCATGATCCCCCCATTCTTGACTCTTCTTTTTCTTCTTCCTTATTATTACTGTTGCTATTTTAGCTTATATTTGCCTTAAAAATATGTGTGTACTAACATACAGTGAGGAAGCCACCCAATAAAGCTTGCTTCTCTCTGAAGATTTGCAAACTCAATTAAGGGGACACAGGGATGTCGTTGCTACGCTTCTTCACTCTTATAGCTGACTGTGTGGTCATCTATATGTCAGGGTCATAACTTAGTCTCCGAACATCTGTTTGATCTCATTTTATGTAAAGCAGTTTTCCTGCTTTGTTTGCTTCTTCCAGCCTCATTCCTCCTATCTCAGGTTCAGGGAGCAGATCTTGGACTTAGTACAGAGACTGCCTCAGCTGTAATGATGATCTACCGATTGGTTCTCAAACTCTTATTTTTGCTTTAGGCCATGGACCCTGTCCTGTGACCTTGCAGGCTATATAACCCCAACTACTGGTTGAGAGACGTTCCAATGAGCCATACAAAATAAGAAAGCTCTGGTTCTTAAAAGCGGCATGGCTCTCTTGAGAGCCTTGCAGGGAAGCTGGTTGAGTTGAATATGTACTGAGTGCCTTAAGAATCTGCTGTATCTTATTCTGAGATGATTGATAGGCTGGCAGCTGGAGGCCATTCAGGGCTGAAGCCCACTCGGATGTTATCAGCATGACGAATCTTGGTCTTTTTAGCATTAAGATGAGTGAGAAAAAAAGAATGGTCAGCTCAGCCCCTTCTGAAAAGCTATTTTATTTTTCTCTTATTGCCTCCAGTATAATTGTGACTTAATCCATGGCTGAACTGGAGACAACAGGAAGCTGTTGAAAAATATTTTTCCCCCAAAAGGGTAGGAATAGGAATAGATTCAGGATGAATAATTGACTGATGAACAGTGGACTCACAGAATCTAGATTAGTGTATTACTTATATGGTGGGTTCAGATGGGTAGCCCTGGAAAGACACAGGGGAATGGTTACCATGTTTGTTTTTTTTTGTGGTTGTGCACTTTTGTTATTAGAACATCCTTTGAAATAAAGGTTTAAAAGAAGGCAATGAATCTGAAAAGTACAATTAATCTTATAGAATTTTTACTCTGTTTAAAGCTAGGGACTCTTAGTCCCTAGAACCTTAAAGTTATTTTTAAGGAAAAAAATTCATGCTTTTAATCTAAAAAGCTTCTTCCTTACAAACTGAATATTAAGAGATTTGAGATTTTTAAATTTTTTAAAACTTTTTATTCGAACATAGCATGCATGAAGAAAAGAGCCCATTCCGCCTGCTACATTCCCGCAAACTAAGCCCCTGTGGGCAGCCGGCACCGCCTCAGTTCTTCCTTGTGGCCCCTTGCCATCTCCCACTCTCACTGCTAGAGGGCAGGGGGACCTACTGTCTTGACTCCCAAAGGCATAGACAAGTTTAACTTACTTTTGTACTTTATACAAATGGTATCATAATTCCTTGATTGTTTCAATAAGGAAAGATTTGTAGCATCTATTACAAAGCTTATTTCCTTAAGAGTACTTTAGTTCATTATAACTTGGTCATCTCACCACTTTGGTGAGGATACCATGATTATTATCATTCTCATACTGAGCCTGTAAGTTTATTTCACAACACTCAGGTGTTTCATTTTTCTAAACCCAGTTATAATGAAGTCAGGCCCCGCTCACAGTCCTCTCACCGCGTTGGTTCATGCAGACAGTTCAGTACTGGCTTCCCTGAGGTGTGACTCACCCTGTCTAGACATCGATTCTTCCAAGCCTCAGCACTCGCTGAGATGGGTTCACGTCTTCGTCTCGTCACCTGGGTGGTCCAGTGGAGACCAAGGTCTGTGTGAAGGGCGTGAGAAAGAAGAATGATGAGATGAAGAGGGGCCTTAGGGTTGATCCCTGCTCCATGCCCATATGGGCTGATTCCAAAAGTTGAAACTATCTAAGACTTCACCTTCCTGCCCCTGGGATAGACACTGACACTGGCTTGGCGCAGATTTTGACACTTTCTAATTCTGCAGCTGCCCCTTATTGTCCAGCTATTTAAAGGGGGATATTATTAATATAGTTGAATTTCAGGGTATCTAAGTGTCCCGTTGCTCCTGGATTCCAGTTTGGAAAATTTAGACTGAAATTGTCTCTTGTGAGCCTGTACTTCAGGACCTCTGAGAAGCCCTGCGTTAGCCCCATGGGTTTGTACAGTGAATTAGCTACATTTTTAAGTTCTTATTAATTTGTGTGGGTGTTCTTAAATTTTAGTGTGCTTAGGAGTCACCTGGGAAGGTTGTTAAAAATGTAGATAACTGAGTGCTGGCTTCAGATAGTCTGATTCTGAAGAGCTGGGGTATCTCCTGGGAATCTGCATTTACATTGATCCTCACAGTGATTCTGACACATACTTTCAGAGCCTCATACCTTGAGATACATTCCTCTACATCATAGTTTTCAAACCTTTTTATTGCCATGAAGCTCTTTATGGAAATGAAGTCTTATGTGGAAAACCAAATGCACAAAAGATAATATTGGAGCTGCAGTGACCTAAGTGCAGTTAGCAGGTGGTTTTCAGGACCCCAGAGCCTCTGGACCAAAAGTATGAATGGGTTTAGGGTCTATGTTGGAAATTCTGGCCCAGACATAAGATGGTGCTAGGTCCTTACTGAACCTAATGCAGTAAAATGCATGTCACTTGCCGACTCATGTTATTTTAGATATGAAAGGGACCTTAGCAATGCTTGCTTCTGTCCTCTGATTTTTCAGGTAAAGAAACTGTGGTCCATAGAGGTGTCGTAATTTGTTGCACATCATGTAGCAAAAGTGTGACAAAGCCATGGCTAGATACAGGCTTTCTGTTTACTAATCTAGTTCAACACATGCGTGTGCACACACAAACACACAGCATACTGGTTATATAACCCAGTTTACAGTGTGGCAAAACAGGGAAGTAAGCGCTAAGACCCCGGTCTTCTAACCCTGCCCGTCTGATTTTAGCATCAGCTGTGAACGAAACTTATGTTGGCCAGTGTGTTCTCATTTGCTTTCTTAACCAAGAACGAGCCAGGCCTCATGTGAAAACTTATGTTAAAGAAACCATACCCCTGCCTCCTGAAAAGTAATTTTGATATATAATGAGAGAGGACTGACCTTCCTATAGGCACCTCTGCTGTCTTTGCCTGGATGGAAGGGTATTGACTACTTGGGTAAGTGTGGATGTGTAGTTCATGAATATGCCAATAGCATGACAGTCTTTCCTGATTCAATGCCAAGAGTCCACTTAAGACCAGTAAAATAGCATTTCTCTTTATGGGGATTTAGGTAACAACCTCAATGTAAAGATAACGATATTTGATAGGGAGAGGCATAATGTGCATCCAGCATCACATATTCTGAGAAAGCAAACTTTTGGAAATTGTTTTCTTTTTTTTTAATAAATTTATTTGTTTTAATTGGAGGCTAATTACTTTACAATATTGTAGTGGTTTTGCCATACATTGACATGAATCCACCACGGGTGTACATGTGTCCCCATCCTGAACCCCCCTCCCACCTCCCTCCCCATTCCATCCCTCTGGGTCTTCCCAGTGCACCAGCCCCGAGCACCCTGTCTCATGCGTCGAACCTGGACTGACGCTCCATTTCATATATGATAACGCACATGTTTCAATGCCATTCTCCCAAATCATCCCACCCTTGCCCTCTCCCACAGAGTCCTTCTTCCCTTTGTATAGAATTATCTTTACTGAAATACAAATTAAGGTTATTCCTGGTCTTTATGGAAAGTGAATACAAGATTCATTCTTTTTTATAGCTATACTTTATTTAAATTATTTGTTCATTTATTACATGCTGTGTGCAAGGTACAGTGGTGAATATATTTGGAGATTACCCCTTTCCCTCAAAGCCATTCCCCTCCATTTTGCTACCCATGTGGGCCTCATACAGGTCATGTTTCATGGGGTAAATTCTTATGTAGTTTATTTAAGGGAAAAGTTCCACCTTTGAAGTTAATTTTTTATTTCTTTTGTCAGAAAATGGAAAGTATGCAACAGTGTGTTTTCTTTTCTGACTCAAATGCCAGAAAACTTGGAGCCAAATTTTAGTTACAGCCTTATCTTGGGAGCTTGACAGCATCTTCCTCTCTCTCTGCTTCCTTTAGTTGGTTTCTATTCTGTTTTTATTCCTAATTGACCTATTTTACATTTTTTAAAAATTGGAAGCTACTGTAAACATTTCCATGTGCATTTGATTTGACATACAGCATGTGCTTGAATCATCCTGGCTCTGATGAGAGAGGAATGCAGTGGGAATACTTGTTCTCAGAATCTTGGAGATGGGAAACTATGTGAAGAGCAGAGCAAAACAATGGAATGGATCAAAGGGTTTGAAAAATGGTTCCTGAACATGCTTTTATGTCCTTACTATTTGACCACACATGGCAGGCTGAGCATGCGGTCTTTTGCAGCTGTCCTACTGGTGAGATTGTAGCTGTCCCCAAATAATTCAGGTTTGGCAACCTGCTTCATCATGAGTCCATGTCACCTTGGAGCACGAGTGACATGGGGTTGTCTGTTGTCTTGTGATCTGCTTTTCCTCAGCCCGAGTTTTCTTTCCCTTGCCATGTGTCATAACTTATGACAGGCTGAGAGCAACAAAAGGAAATCTTTCCAATTCCAGCTGAGGCAGCCCTCAGTGATCTTCCGGTGCTGGCTGGTCCACCATGCCGGTCTTTGCAATCCTAAAGACTTTGTTGGAATACATGTTCCGCTCACCTACAGAGTAAATGCCATAGCTGGTCAGGAGCAAGCATACTTTCCCCTTGGTCTCTAGTTTTAGACCCATGTTTCCTGTTGATAAACTGTGTGATCACATGGAGAGTTTTGATCTTAACAGAGCTGTTCAAGAGAAAGGTGCTTATTAATTTCAAAACATATTTGCCATAGAAATAGCATTATATAAAGAACTTTCCTGGTTAAAGAATAGATCTCTGCTGTTTTCATATATTCCTATATAAATTACCCTTCCCAACTGCAGTCAACTTAAAAATGTTGCCTTTTGTAAAAATCAACTCATGATCTGCTTATTTTAATAGGGAAATAGCCTCTTAGAGAATTCACAGAGGTGGGATGTCTGGCCCTGAAGACCAGTCTGGTTGCTGTGTTTATTGAACATGCTCTTATATGTTTATTAACAAAGACTAATACATTTAATGAGATTGCTTAAACATAAAATTAAATAATCTTTTAAAACATGGTATTTATTTGAGGTTGGAAACAAGCCATTAACCTTGCTCTGGAAATGTATTCCTTTTTGGGAAAGTGCAATGGAAATTTGTAGATAATGATACTATTTGATGACTAGGATAGCAATTTCTTCTGAAGACTACATCTACTAAAATTGTGTATAGATGTGCATGTGGAAATTTCCAGCTATGAATCTTTCTTCCAAGTTGGGGAAAAAACAGGAAAATCTTTTTTGTGTGTGAAAATAAACATCAATACCAATTTTGATGTGAATATCTAAAATATGATGATACCAACTAGTGTTTTTTAAATGCTGGTACTCATATGTAAAGGATGAGCATTGGAGGCAGATTGAGGGGGATCCCCCATGATCAGGAATTTTTAAGGGGTTGGTAATGCACACAGGAGCTGTTTTCTGACTGGTGAAACACATTCTGGTGTGGACTAGGGGTGGGGGTTGCTGGATTGTGCAGCCGGGTGTATGTTATTAGCCCCAGATTATAGCATGTCGCAGAGATAAACACGTGCTGCTTAATGAGCCACACCAATGGCTTCAGTTGCTCCTCCTGACCCCTCTCTCTGTGTTACTGCTGTTTAGACTGGGAGGCGCGCATTGACAGCCACGGCAGGATCTTCTACGTGGACCACGTAAACAGAACCACGACGTGGCAGCGGCCCACAGCTCCCCCTGCCCCGCAGGTGCTGCAGAGATCCAACTCCATACAGCAGATGGAGCAGCTCAACCGGCGGTGAGGACGGGCAGTTTCGTGGTTGGGCTAGTTTTTATATGTGCGAGATGGAAAACGCGGTTGCCTCTTTCATCTTTGGGTGTCCCGTCATTAACGCGGAGCTGTGGCCTCTCTTGATTCACTGACTTCATTGACTGTCTGTCTCTTGGTTGAAAAATATTAAGCGCACACATCCACAGCTTGCTTGGAAACTATAGAGAGGAAATAAGTAAAGATCAACCCAAGGCATTGACTTTTAGTACAACGGAGCATATATATTTGTCATTTGAAGCCAAATAGCTTTTTAAATATCTAGAATCTTCATTTGTGATGCATCTTTACTATTTGCCTAAGCTTTTAAAATCTATCCTTCTTTTTCAAAAGTGAATTGCTATGGAACAAAAGTTGTTCTTAACAATCTGGGAATTTAGTTTTCTTTGATTAAAGGCCATAATTTTAAAAAAAAGTTTTATTAATTTGTTAGGAAAATGTTCCACAAACTTTGAACAGAAGATATTAAATTCAATGATTTACTTAGCAGATGGCCCAGAAGGTAGGGGAGTGAGTTTGGGGGAGGAAATGGCCCAGGCTGGGAAGATGGTGAAAATGTCTGAGTTCTGGGGCAGCGGTGAGCCCCGTGTTTTCAAGGCTGCTGTGATCTAACTCTAGGCTCCTGATTTTAGATACCAGAGTATCCGCAGAACCATGACCAATGAGAGGCCTGAGGAAAATAGCAATGCTATTGATGGGGCCGGGGAGGAAGCCGACTTTCACCAAGCCAGTGCAGGTAAGAGCCTGCAGGTTGGTTTGTTTTGTAATCTCACAAAAGTAAAAAACAAATAAGTAAGGGTTTCCAAGAAATGAGGCTTTTTCTTTAAAAGGATTTCTGATCTTCATTAAGATCTGGTAGTCCAACTCAAAAAGTCAGATTCACCAGACACCTCTTCTAATTTGTGACTTTTTATTTAGTACTAAGAATCACAAAACCAAATAGAATATAAATTACTTTAAATCTCTGGATCTGTGCAGTGGTGAAGAAAGAAAGAATCTGATCACCTGAAACATCTCAGGATGCATTAAAATGTTAATAATGACTATGAACGTTACTGAGTTCCATTTTGGTGTAGTGAAGAGCAGTTGGGTTTTACACATGAATTTACAGATATAAAAAAATATCTTGAGGATTAAAACAACAGTAAATGATATAGGTGTTCTTTTAAAAAAAAGATGCAAGTGAGTAAGTAAGTCTCCACCAGGCGCGAAGGTCTCTCTGAAAGCCTTTGTGGTCTCCCCATCTAGATTTCCGACGGGAGAGCGTCCTGCCCCACTCTACCTCCAGATCCAGGCTCACACTGCTGTTGCAGTCTCCCCCCGTGAAGTTCCTCATCAGCCCAGAGTTCTTCACCGTGCTGCATTCTAACCCTGTGAGTAGCCAGTCTGAGAGGGTGTGAGCAGAAAAGCAATAGGCCAAAGGAAATGACCCTCATTTGTGTATTGACCGTAAGAATGGAAATAGCTGATGTTTACCAAGTGCCATGTCTTCCAGCTCAGCATTAAGTACTACCCATGTCTCGAACCACTTAGCCCAAACATGGAAACCTGTGAGTTCGATAAAACTTGTCTTTTCCTGATGAAGAAACCGAGGCACAGAGGGGTGAAATAACTTTCTCAAGGGATTGTTAGGGTTAAAATCCCAGAGATGCTGACTCTCTGTACTCCTAATGACCACTTTTATTTTTCCTGCACAAATATAACCAAATATCTGAGCACTGACAACAAGCATTGGTTAGATTGGACTTTGAGATCATGATTACTGGCTCTCCAAAAGAACAAAGAAATATAAAATGTTACATTGCTGTAATCTGAAAAAATAAATCAATAAATAGAGGAATATTTTAAAATATATAAAATGTGTATGGGAGATCATGTTTTTTTTTTCTGTGGGAGGAGAGTAGTGGTGTTTGGAGTAATTGGAATAGCAAGTACACGGACCCTAGAGCTCAGAAGAGGGCAGAGGGGCTGCTGTGTGGTGATAGAAAGAATGAGTGGTGTGGTATTACACTGGACATTGGAAAGCCAGCAAGATCCGGATCATAGATCTGCCTGTGGGACATGGCAGGGGATTTAGATTCTATTCTGAGATCAGAGTGACATTCTTGGATTTGGAGGCTGTAGAAAGGCAATAGTGTGGAAGGTTTGAAGACGTGGTAGTTTTAAAGACTGAGTAGGAGTTTGCCCTAGAAATAAGACGGGCCAGAGCTCTCTATGTAGAAGGAGCATCGTTTACAAAATAAGAGACTCATGAAGTTGCAGAGCTGTCTTAGTAACCTGTAGAACTACTGAAGCTGCATTATTAGTTCAGCAGTTTGGTATTGCTGGTATGTGGAGAGCATAGGACACCAGCGACAGTCAGATTTGAAAGGTAGGCAGAAGCCAGGTTGTTGTTAAGTCTCCCCGTCGTGTCTGACTTTTTGCAACCCCATGGGCTGCAGCACACAAGGCCTCCTCGTCCCTCACCATCTCCTGGAGTTTGCCCAAGTTCATGCCCATTGCACTGGTGATGCCAACCAGCCATCTCATCCTCTGACACCCTCTTCTCTTTTGGCTCTCAGTATTTCCCAGCATCAGGGACTTTTCCGATGAGTCAGTTGTTTGCATCAGGTGACCGAAATACCAGAGCTTCATCTTCAGCATCAGTCCCTCCAATGAGTATTTAGGGTTGATTTCCTTTAAAATTGTCTGGTTTGATCACCTCGCTGTCCAAGGGAATTTCAGGAGTCTTCTCCAGCACCAGACTTCAAAGGCATCGATTCTTTGGCACTTTGCCTTCTTTATGGTCCGGCTCTTACAACTGACCACCGGGAAGACCACAGCCTTGACTATATGGACCTTTGCTGGCAGAATGATGTATCTTTTCAGAAGCCAGGTTACAGGAATCTAAACTCGTGTATGGAACAATTCTAGGAGATTGAAGGCTCTCATATGAGGAAGAATGAATAACATTGAGAGTTGTCACTATAAAACAGTAAGTCATGCTGTGATGGGAACAGCTTTGAACTTGGAATTAGGTAACACAAGTTTTCTGTGCTTGTTCATTTGTTTATGCCTTCATTCAACCAATATTTATCAAATGCCCATAATTTGCCTAGTACATTCCAGACTCTCAGGATAAAGTGGTAAACAAGACAAGAGTAGAATAAAGATGAAACTAGTGAACAAAAAAAGATAATTCAGGCAGTGAAATGTGTCATGAGACAATTGAAACAGTATAGATGACTGGGCTGGGGTGAGTAAGGGGCCAAGCTATTAGAGATGCTGGTTTAGATCAGGTGGATGGAAAGACTTCTCCAAGATTTTATAAAATTTCAAGAAGCTAGGAAGGTAAAGGCCTTAGGGAAGAACTCTCCTTGCCAAGGAAGAGCAAAGGCTTGAGGACAGGAATGCGTTTGATGTAGTATGTGGTGTGATCAGAAGAATGACTATGTAAGTAAAGTTGCTCAGTCGTGTCCGACTCTTTGCGACCCCATGGACTGTAGCCTACCAGGCTTCTCCCATGGGATTTTCCAGGCAAGAGTACTGGAGTGGGTTGCCATTTCCTTCTCCAGAAGATCTTCTCCACCCAGGGATCGAACCCGGGTCTCCCGCATTGTAGGCAGATGCTTTACCATCTGAACCACCAGGGAAGTCAAGAAGGATGATTAGGGCTTCAAAATGTAGGGCTTGTGTGATCTGGCAAGGAGTTTGGGCTTCATTCTAAGTGGGTTTTATTCCTAAAGGAGTTCATATGGGCATGTAGTTTTCTTTTTTTTTTTAAAGTTTCTTCTACCTGCCATGTTGAAAATAGGTTTTAAAAGGCAAACTTGTCATCTGGGAATAAGTGGAAAGGCCCTGTGGTGAGACATGGAAAGGACTTGGACCAGTGCAGTAGCAGTAGAGATGGTGAGAATGTGTCTTGGAGAAAGAGCTGATACTTTTCACACACTTTTGTCAATAAGGTCAGCACCTTCTTTGTTGAGCCAGATAATAGTTTTTGAATATTGGATTTATTTTTGTTCATTTTATGTGTGCTATTTGCAGTGTAACAGCACAATGTGAACTTCATTCTATACTACTAACATTTTATTTTCTTTGTCGATTTCTTAAATCTAGAACTTATGTTTAGAAACTGGCAGCAAGCAAACTTTTTCTGGAAAGGACGAGAGCATAAATATCTTCAGCTTTTGGGCCAAGGACAGCATGTAAATGAATGGATGTGATTATATTCCAATAAAACTTTGTTTGCAAGCAACAGCCAGCCAGTCCATAAGTGTCTAGTTTACTCATTTCTAGTCTAGACAGCCCATAAAACAGTATTAAGACTTGATTTGCACCTACTGATTTCTATAGTGTTAATATTCCCACTGTGGCCAATTTCAAGCTACCATCTTTTTTGTTGTGTGATTTCTGTTTTGTTATATGTATTCATTTTTTGTATTTTCTTGATTTCACGTATTGTGTGATAACATACTCTGTCTGTCTTTGTCTTATTTCACTAAGCATAATATTCTCTAGGCCCATCCACATTGTTGCAAATGGCAGAATTTCATTATTTATTATGGCTGGGTAATTGTGTCTTCTTTAGCTGTTCATCTGTTGATGGAAACTGATTGCTTCCGTATCTTGGCTATTGTAAATAGTATGGACATTTTAACAATATTAATTCTTCCAACCCAAGGATACAGAGGATCTTTCCTTTTCTAAACATTTTCAGTTTCCTTTATCAATGTTTTATAGTTTTCAGGACATAAGTCTTTCACATCGTTGGTTAAGTTTATTCTAGGTAAGTTTATTCTATTCTAAGTTTATTCTTTTTGAGGTAATTTTAAACGGAATTTTTTTTGCTTTCTCTGTTAACTCATTATTAGTGAATAATAGAAAAGCAACAGATTTCTGTTTTTTAATCTTGTTTCTTATGACTTTGCTGAATTCATTTATTAGCTCTAATAGTTCTTTGGTGGATACCTATCATCTTTATTGAAAAGAACAAAAATTAAGTAGATACATAGTTTCCATAACTCTAACGGAAAACTTGAGGAGCAAAATACTGTTTTTCATTTGTGTGTCTGTGTATGTGTGTTTTTACTATTTTTGCATTGTAGTTGCTTTAAGATATATTCTACTGCCCTCTGCTGGTTATGATCAGATTGCTTCCAAAAAACCGTTTCCTCTGGTAACTCAAGATTTAATTCTTAGTGTTATGTCTTTGATATGTGGGATTATTGTGTTTGTTTAATAATTGTCAAACATACATACATTTCATTATATGCAGCTAAATAATTTTTCCAACATACATGCCAAATGATTATTTTATACTGGAGGGGGTAGCCATTCCCTTCTCCAGGGAATCTTGCCAACCCAGAGATTGAACCCAGGTCTCCTGCATTGCAGACAGATTCTTTACCATATGAGCCACCAGGAAAGCTCTAAATAATTACCATTTTAGCTTTTAATATGGTCTAGAAATACCTTAATTCCTTCATATAAACTCCTTTCTACTTAATGACGAAAAATATTATTCTAAAATACTCAAATATATTCTTATAAGTCAGAAACTTGTGCTCCCGCAAAATAGATTAGTTGATAATTACAGTTAGTTTTGTCAATAAGTTTAATTTTCCCTCCATTTTACTTCTTAGCCAGATGAGAAAAATATAAAGTCCCTATGATTAAAAATATTTTGAAGATAAACTGCATAAAACAAGACTATTTCCATATACTAGCATATATCTTATGGAAACAATATTACTTGATTTTGTTTATAATAAATTTTGTTTAGTGAATAATATACAGATGCTCACATCTACTTCCTTGTGAGCCTTTGTATACATTTACTATGGCAGCAGTGATAATGTTTTCCAAGCATGAATTCAGAATACCTATTCTTGATGAAGGATTTCTGGAAAATGAAAGATTTTATTTAGCAATAATGTACTAACCTGTGTTATTGAAAATAACAGATTTAGAGTAAATTAAGACTGGGCCAGGTAATCCTGGACATACGATCACTGTAACACTTAAAAAACCTGCTCCCAGAAAAGGAGGTTTAATTATTACTTGCATTGATTGTGATTAATTAATTGATAAATTAGTTGATTGATAAGACATATAATTTTCTTATTCTGTTGCCAAATGGCAGTAATTTCCTCTCGGTTCTTCTCAGTATTTTTCACTTCTAACTCTTCAAACAGTTAGCCATACAAAACACGTAAGCTCTGAGGAGTGTAATTTTAATGAAATTCCACAAAGAAATTCAGTTAATACTCAGTTGATCATTCATCCAACCATGCAGTGTTTATTTCTTTACTAGAACAATAAGACAAGAAACAACCAAGAGGATTGGGAAAGGGAGTTTTGGATTAGAGAAGGGATAACCAAAATGGACATTTTAATTCACATTGAACGGCAAGAAAACTTTGCATCCTTTAGGTATCATTTAAAGGGGTTCTGCTTACTATTAACAGTTGCCAAATCACATTAACCGGTGTAAATCCACATGCAGCATCTTCCAAGGTGAGATCACTGTGTGCAAGAAGTTTTATCATGACACTGCTATGAAATAAGTCCACTTTTGTTTCAGGTAGCAGATCAGATCCTTTTACTGTATCTTGTTCTGTAAGACCAAAGCAAAACAGTAACTCAAACGCAAAAAAGGATCCCTTTCCAGTTAGACCCACTAAACCCCAGAAGGGAGAATAAAGATGTCTCTTTTCTTTTCACACACAGGTTTGTCCTGTCAGCTTCCATGAAGACAAGGCTCTTTCTACCTAATCCTACCTGTTTAGTGTTTCTCAGCTCTTTGGACCCCTCTGATCCTTAGCTTTGCTAGTTTTATCAGTGTATTTCAGCATTTTCACTGCTACTGTGACCTCTGTTTTCCAAGCTCCACTTTCTGCCTCCAGTGAACCCCTTTCTCCCACCTTCCCCTGTAATTTTCCCTCTCCATCCTTTTGAGGGATTAGGTTGTGCTCATCTCTGTATCCTCAGGGTTTACAACAGGGCTTTGCACATAATTAATAAGAGGTTATGAGACCCTTCTTCCCTTAATAGAAAGTGGAATGCTTGCCCAAGATCTTCAAAGACTGAAAGTAGAAAACAGTTTTACTACTATCATTGATCTGTTAGGACACAGTGATGGTGGGTATAATCCCTTATATATTCTTGTACTTAGTTCAACTCTATGGTTTTACAGTGATTTTTACCTCTTCAATGCACTCTTACACCCTTTTTTCTGGATTTGAATCCCTCATGCCTATGAAGAAATCAGGGCAGTTACTATTATCCCATCATAGAGTTGAGCAAATTGAGGCAGAGATTAAATGACTTTATTTGTCTCTATCCATGAGCTGTGATTAGAAACCTCACGATAGTTCTGTATGAACTGGAGTGTAAATATCTGAATAAGTATATTTTTGGTCATATATATAACATACATTTTAAAGTCAATACTATATATATATTGAATAAACATAAATATATATTCAAAAATAGAATAGATGGATACGTATACAAGCATATGTATGTATGCTTGGTTGCTCAGTCATGTCCGACTCTTTGTGCCCCTGTGAACTGTAGCCTGATAGGCTCCTCTGTCCATGGGGATTCTCCAGGCAAGAATACTGGAGTGGGTTGCCATGCACTCCTCCAGGGGATCTTCCCAACCCAGGGACTGAACCCAGGTCTCCCGGATTACAGGCGGATTCTTTACCAGCTGAGCCACCAGGGAAGCCTGTATATAAATATAGACATGTATAAATATGTTACACATACACACATATTAACATACATAAGTAAACATATATATGTGAGTAAGTATATATGTATTTCTTTATAAACATGTAGCCAGAGTCTAGAGGGATGTTCCTGTTTGCCTTATGTGTTTTATATGGACCCTAATAATCATGTGCATATTATTTAGACTTGAAAAAGTCATGATTCTAAAGGTTGTTTGCTAGGTACTGATGAGGGAAATCTTTCTTATACTTAAATTTACTTTGGTAGATATTTTTTGCAAAGATCAGTTGAACTTGGCACTATATTACACGTCTCATTGAGTGGAGAGGGAGAAGAAGAAAGGATGTAGTTAATCCTAAAACCAGCCTCAGGACTCCTGTGCTTAAAGAGCTGTCCGGCCAGGGGCTTGCTTCATGCCGAGGCTGGGGTGGGTCCCTTCACCTAATTACTGCTACTCCGTGCCCTAGTGCAGTTCTGCTGCTTTTCTTTAGCAGAGGGAGGCGCCTTTCTGGTGCCCCAGATAAAGAGTCAGGATGTGGCCTATTTACTTATTTCAATGGGGGGAGGGTTAAGGGAGGGTGACAGGAGATACACCTTTTTAGCAATGATTTCTCCCACAGAATCATCCCACTGTAATTTGTTCCCAGAGAGACTTATTAGGGAGAATGACTTGAAAGTTCATTACTGTCACCGTCAGAGAGGTTAGTGTTCTCTCCGGCCTCTATGCTTGTGATGGCTTGTATGAAAATAAACCAGCAACATGCAGCCAAATACAGAAAACAGATGCCTTGTTGATTGTGCATAAGACTCCAAGGCAGGGTCAGCCACGGGCTAAACTCTTAGTTAGCTAATGTTAGTCTCTGACAGCCTCCGACTTCTTTTATTAGCCTCCTTCTCTGCTTTCATGGTATCACTTTCTTATTCTCTCATGATCTAATTGTCCAGAGCCCCTGCGTGGGCCTGCCTGCTTTGGCAGGGCTCCGTACTCTGAACCTCATAACTTCTCAGAGCCGTCAAACCTCCTCTCATTTAGACTATCAGGTTGAAATGTGATCTCAAAATACTTTCTACTCAGGTATACTAAGGAACTAGAACACTAGTATTTGAGTAGAGTTTAATGTGTCTGACCTTCCTGCCTTCCATTTTCATAGGGGAAAAATAATTTCCATACAAAGCAAAAGGTTAATGATAGCAAATCAATCAGAATAACTGTAGAAAAGTTACTTTGTGTAGTGTGAGTTACACATCAGTCATGGTGACCGACACATCTCAGTGGCTTAAGCTAACAGAGGTCTGTTTCTCATTCCAAATTGCGCTGTCAGGGTTCTCTGATCCTGGAGTTCCTCAGAAACCCAGGAACCCAACTGAGAGCAGCCACCATTTCAGACATGGCCAGTTGCTGAGCTCACCACGTCAAAGGAAAGGGAGCTCTTGAAGGCACTGCCTTGCCGACGTCTGAGCCAGACGTGACACATTCCGAGGGTCTCTGGAAAGACAGGAGCACTGTTGACTATTGTCGGGGTCCAGCCCCCGCGGAGTCCAGGGGTTCCCTTCGGATGGGCGGTGTCGGGAAGGAAAGAAAGCGAGTCGAGTCTTGGTTGAGTGCAGGATCAAGATTACTTTATTCTTTTACATCAGTGCTTATATACCCTAAAACCAATAATCCTTTACAGAGGTTTAAGGAAGGGGGAATGATAAGATTGTACCAGGTGCATAATCACGGGTTACATCATAAATAACTTTCCAGAACAATCAGTACCTACACATAACTTTTAAACAATTCAATGGCAGCAGCTAGTCAACTGTGAAAAGCCATCTACAAACCTTATCTTGGGAAGCTGCCCCAGGCGGACTTAGCTCTGGTGTGTAATCCTAAGGGTCAGAGGTCTCATGAATTCCCTCCTGATCACACCCTAAGGAATCTTCTCAGTCTCGTAATGGGCTCTACATTTGCTTATGGGATAGATAGGCCTTTTGCTAGCAGATTTGGTTTTGTGCTAGAAGGGTTTTTGTGCAATCATGAGCATTCCAGATTCTAACTTGGCAGTCATAACTCCAACAGAGCCAGAACAGGCAGGATATTTTGTGTAATATATTCCTTACCTCTGGCCTGTTTATTGGGACCCATGTGCCCCCAGGGACTGTGTTGCTGCCATGCAAAGGTTTCAAGGAGGGATTTTAGGTAAGAGTCAGACTAGTTTTTAGGGAACGTAGAAGAACGCCAAGCATCAGAAGATGAAAGGACGAAGGCCTGGGAGTGGATGTTGGGGCGGTCCCGAGAAACCCCCAGAGGTCTGGACGCCTTTGCGTCCATCCAGACCTTGTCACGGATGGGCTTTCTCTTGCCGGCTCCCGACAGACTATCGTTACTTATTCACCTTTTATTCTCAAAACCAGCACAGTAAATGTTTATGAAGGTTAGGTTATTTCCAGAGATTCTGATTTCTTTCGGGTTTACCTTGGTCTGTCTAAAAGAAAATAAATAACAGAACTCATAAAGTAAAGCCTATAGGCCTCCACACTCAGTCTGATATCCCTCGGATACTAAAGGTAGGAGGAATCCAGAGCTCTTTGAATCTACCTGAGGAGCATAGCATTCCTGGAGAGATCTTTCATGGTGGGTCGGTTTCATGAACATCACATTCCTTCAAGGAAACAGCCTATACAGTTCCTCCTGTTATACTGCTTGGCACATGGCACTGTGTTGAATATCTGTTGACTGACTCATGAAGACGGCTCGTGGCTTATGGTCTTTTTTTTTTTTCCTTTGGACTCTTCTTTAAGTATCATTTTACAGAACAATCACTTTTTTATGTGTGCTGGTATAGTGGGGTTTTATTAAATGTGTATTTCAGTCATGTAAATTTAGTCATATATAGGTAATGTGTGTGTGTCTGTGTACAGGAAAAATAAAGAAGAAAAAAGATTTAAAAAATACTGAGATATACAGTCTAGGTAATTCTGCTCGCTGTTCCATTCACTGAGATTATGCTTTTAAGCACAAGTGAGATGAAAGCCTCTAATCTACTGCGGTCTTAGTTGAATATGACTTTCAGGGAGAACTACTCAGCCCATTGCATGTACTTCTAATATTCAGATTTATGGCCATTTTTCTATACAACTTGACTCCTAACTGTATGCCAACTGTTTCATTGGCATGCACCCAAAGAGCCAGAGATCTTGTGCTGGAGGAAATGCTGGCTATATTGGGACTCTCTGTGAGGTGGTATATTTGTTTCCTGCATGGTATAATTTTGACTGTGTGGGTTTTGCCTGAAACCGTCTCTAAGGTCTTACATCTCCTGTAGAATGAAACTCCGCAGTGTTCTTGTTCCTTAGAAAACTAGATTCATTAGTGAAGACTCCCTGACTTTCTGCAGTCTATTTTACTTTAATCAAGATTATTTTGCTTTGTCTCCTGTGTGGGTCTAGAGTTACACTGAATCTGGTATACCATCCGAAGATTAAACATGTCCATGGGAGTTTATGTGTTGCTTTTGCATGTCACAAAGCAGGTTAATGTGGGTTTCCCATCCTTCTCTCCAGAGTGCCTACCGCATGTTTACAAACAACACGTGTTTGAAGCACATGATCACCAAAGTCCGGCGGGACACCCACCACTTTGAACGCTACCAGCATAACCGGGACCTCGTGGGATTCCTCAACATGTTTGCAAACAAACAGCTGGAGCTTCCAAGGGGCTGGGAGATGAAACAGGACCATCAGGGCAAGGTAACTTGTGGGCGTGGCCGTGGGGAAGCCGCCACGTGGCCGTGCGACCTCGTGACTTTGGCACTTGGCTCTACCCATCAGGTGAGGGCCGAAAGTCCTTTGTGAGGGGAAAAATTCCGTCTCCTGGTTCCAGGGAAGCCTGGGCAAGCAGGCTGTTTGTCACCGTCAGCAGTTGCTGCCCTCTTTTGAAGTGGTATATGCAGTGTGTGGGAGTCACCCACTTTGCATGGACATTCTTTGCACTGTAATCTCTCACCATTTTCTACTGATTAGAGAAGAGGTTTCTTAAGCAATGATACTTCCTTCTCCTAGCTGGGTTGTGGATAGTTGAATACAAGTTGTACCATTGTTTGGAGAAGGTGGCGAGGCAGTTGCTAAGCAACAACACAAGGTGTGTCTGTGACACCATCGGGTTTGGGCCTTAGTCTTGTTGGTTCAAACCCCTGATTTTGTTAGCACGTTAAACAAGATTCAAAGACTGATTAATTTATGATGAGAAACACGTAACTCTTGCACAGACCAGTAACCACATCTGCACTTCCTTTTTAGACAAATGAATCAGAAAGCCGGGTTGCTATCAGGAGATTGTTTTATGAGTAAGAAATCAAAGTGAGAAATTAGTAGTTCTTATTAGTTTCTCAGCCAAGATTTTGCTGATTTAACTCTTGTTCAGCATGTACTAGGAGCCATGAACTGTTTAAGTTCTTTATGTTTAAGCTCTCCACAACAACTCTGTAAGACAGTACTCTTGTTATTATTGCTATTTACATATGCAGAGTTCAGGTGCAGAATGGTTCAGTGACTTGCCCAGGGACTAGAGACGGGCAGTGTCTGAGCTGGGCTCTGACCCATGCAGTCTGGTTCCAGGGTCCTTGCTCCTAACCACCATGTTATGCTCTCCAAGCATTGAGAAACCCACAGTTTCCCTGTCTGTAAAAATACTTGAAATACATGACTTGTGTGGGGAGGATTAAGTTGACAAAATATTTACAATAACTGTACTTGACTTTTTCATTCAGCAAATACTTATTGAACACCTGTGCTAAACAAGCAGCCAGCTACTCCTCAGAACTGTCATTCTGATGGAAGAGATGGCCAGTGGACAAGTGAATACCAGGCATGCGAAGAGCTGATTAAAGTTTTGATTTAAAGAAACGCAGGATATGGGGTCTAGGAAAAGGCAGGAGAGGAGAGTTATTTTATAGAGATGTCTGAGGAAGGACTCACAAATTACGCTCTGCATGCACGCAGACGTAAATGAAGTGAGAAATAAACCCTACCAGGGAAGAGCATTCGAGGTGAGTGGAATGTGGGAAGTACTCAGTGCATTCTATTCTTCCCTAAAGTACCCTCTAGCAAAAATACCACAGTGTATCTTGCTCGTCCTGAACTCAGCTTCCAGCAGTCTTATCTGAGAACTCAGAAGAAGTCAAAATTGATATTACAAATTTCACGGATACATTTTAATGCATGGGAGGAACCCTCAGACTTTCATTGAAACTACTGACTTGAGTTTTGTAAAATTTTTTAGTAAACCTCTAATTCTCAGCCCAGAGAAGTGGTAAGCATCTAGCTCAGAATAGATGAAAGAGAATGGACTTGTGATTAGGTCCCTAAAGCACAGGTAGAGTGGCGGTGTATCAGAGCCCGGCGGGGTGGCAGGGAAGCCTCTCCAGGACACGGGGACCCTGCAGGGACACTGGGCAGTTCCTGTGCTCTCTTTCCCGAGGAGGATGTCACTTTGCTGGCGCCGAGTGTTTGCAAACATTCTACTGAATGGAAATGCGCAAGTAGTCCAAGATAGGGTGATGGAAAATACTGATGGTATTATGCCTGCATGTAAAAGAGCATTAGCAGACCAAGAATCAGCTCCATTCTCTGACAGTTTTTTCCTGATGTCATGGGGATCTATACTCATTAGAAAACCACAGGTTCAGGGAAAAACCCAAGCTGAGATAATGCTGCATGTATTTCTGCTCTGTGCAGAGACTTAACATGTTAGCTCATTTTGTATCCTTAGCTGAACAGAATCGGGAACTTACCATGCAGACCTGGAAGGGGAGGTTCCTTTCTTGCCAGTCATAACTTGCCAGACATGCTTCAGGAGAGATCTTCTTATTAATAACACCTGAACCTTGAGAAGAGTTTAAGTTGAACTTAGAATACTATTTAAGATGAGTGATGATGTATTCCTAAGAACAAGTTCTGTCTCAAAGCTTTTATAAAAGTTTTGATGGTTAAACAGAGGTGAACATTATCCCGACTGTGTGGTTAACATAACCATCTGTCTTCTTCCCTGAGGGTTTGGACTCATGTGGGGTTTCAGCCTAAAGTTGTAAGCATTGTTAAGAGCATTGAGTGTGAGTTGGGAGATAGCTAACCTCACAGGTTGCTGGTGACTTTCCTTTTGAAGATGTGTGGCATGAAAGATGTGGACAGAATGAATTACCAGACAGGCCTGAAAGATGATCACTTTAGCCTGATTCCTCTGCTTTAGACTTTAATGATTTTTAGCTAAGCTGGATACCTTAATGAAAGCAAGCATATCTCCCTGTGCTCCCCATCATCCTTTCTTTACAAATGACTGACTTCCAATAAACAAAAATAGCTTGAGAGAACATCTGGGAGAGGCTCTTGGCATAACTGTACTTTAAAAATCATAGCTCCCATCCTTTGCTGTTAACAGGTTTTCTTCTAGCCTGAAATTTTAACTGCCCCTTTTTGATGTATTTAGAATGTTTAAAGGGAGTAACCTTTTTTCCCATTTAATATAGCATCAAAAACTATTAAATACTATGAGTTTTTTCCCCATAGTGATGACTAATTTCTAGAATTGACATGGAATAGGATCACCAAATGCTCACCTGCATGAAAAGGCATAGTTCGTATGAGAAATGTTGTCAAATTTAGCTGCTCAGGCCTATGAAATTTGGCTCCATCTTCTTTTCTTCAGTGCAGCATCTTCCTTTTGTTTTCATTAGTTTTGCCATTCAACACACTTCTGAATGCCTACTATAAGCATGCCACTGTGATAACCATGATACAAGCTCACAGCATAGTACTATGTAGTGTGTACCACTAGATACGTCTAGATGTGGCTACGCATAGTGCACTTAGATTAAGTCCTTCCATTCTCAAAGCAACCTTGTACATAACTGCTATTTTTAATCCACATTTTTCAGAAGAGGAAACTGAAGCACAGCATGGCTAAGTGAGCTGACCAAGGTCCTGTAATTACTGTGTGGTAGAATTGGATTTGATTTAGGCCATCCAGATCCAGAGTCTGTGCTGTCTCCCTGCCTGGGAGGAGCTGAATACACATCTTCTAGCTCTGACAGTGACGGCAGTAAGCGGTGCTCTGGGAGCATGTGGTGGGGTCTCCTACCATGGCTGAGAGGGTGGGGCTTTCATACACACCCCCGAAGGGCAGCATCGTGGGTGGATTGCTCTTGGCTCTCTAGGCATAAGTGAGTCCCCACAGTCCCCCTTGCACGGTTTCATGATGCCTATACCTCTGTGTCTCATGGTGTTGCTGTTAACTTGTTTTGTCTTCCCAAGCAGATGATCCCCTCCTTGAGAGTCCTTCTGTTTATTTTTTTAATTACTCCCTCTTCCACCTCAGTGCCATTCGTATAGAAGATTCTCAAAACAGGTTTGATGAATGAATGAAATCTGTCATCTCTAGATTCCTGGTTTTTCAGTGATCTCTGCTTTGGACAAACAAGCAAGCTCCCAGGCTCTCTCCCCATTGCCACTTGCTCCTCCTTCTGTGCACTCTCTGGAAGTAGCTCCTAGGATTTGCCTGGTTTGACCTCTCCTACTCCATGTGTTGTCTTGGAGTTTTCACATTACATGTTTGAACAGGGTAGTGATTATGCTTGTACTACAGTTTAGCTGTCTCCAATTTGGAAGAGATTTTTCTCCTAATTACTTAAGGCCAGTGGTTTAAGTTGGCTGAGATTTCACAAAATTCTAGATCTGGTGTGCTTTTTGGGGAAGTTCTAGGGTGAAAAATGTCCTCGACTTACATGAAAGAAGAGAAGTAAAATGTTCTTTTAACATTGTGAGTTAAAGAGTAAGAACAGACTATCAGGTCTTCTAGGTAAGATGATAATGATGATGATACCTACATTTATTGGGCTCGATCCATGTGCCAGGCGCTTCACTAGGTATTTGTTCATGGATTATTTTATTTAGACTTCATGGCAGTTTATGAGGTGGGTATTATCATTACTGTTCACATTTTAATGAAATTTTGCATGCATGCATGTGTCTACTAGGCCGTTTCAGTCGTGTCTGACTCTTTGAGACCCTATGGACTGTAGCCCACCAGGCTCCTCTGTCCATGGGATTCTGCAGGCAAGAATACTGGAATGGGTTGCCATTTCCTCCTCCAGGGTACCTTCCTGACCCAGGAATCGAATCCACATCTCTTACGTCTCCTGCATCTACAGTCAGGTTCTTCTAACTTGTGTATTAGTAAGCAAGTGAGGAATTCAGGATTCTAACTTTAGGAGCATGTCTCTTAACCACTGCACTCTACTGGGAGGGATTGTCTTTGAAAATGAGGTATACTTTATCATTCCAAGGAAGAAGAGTTCCAGTCCAGGTGTTGGGATTACTGGTATCCTTCAAGGCTGAGTCATACAAATAGGTTTTGATTAGATTATAAGTATTTTATCAGATGACACCCCATCAGAAACACATTCATGACTTCATGCTTAAATACCATAGATCTCGGAGCTAAAAAGGGAAGCCTAGTCTTCCTCTAATTCAACCTAATAGGTGTGGGATTTCTCTTGGTGGAGAGAATGTTTTAAAATTATATTATGGTGATGGTTGCACAATCCTATGTATATACTAAAAACAGTGGATTGTGCCATTCAAATGGCTGAATTGTATAGTATCTGAGTTATATCTCAATAAAACTATTTTTAAAAAGCAGTAGGTTAAATTAGAGGAAGACTAGGTTTCCCTTTTTAGCTCCTGGATTTTATAGA